AATGTTGACAATGCCCATAAAGCCAATATGCCATAAAAAGTGTTGTGAAATATATCCCCCATTGCTAAATATATTTACATCTACTCGTATTTTCTTCCTATTTGCGTAGAGCTTTGTGTCGTTGAGTGTTTTCTGATTGAGAAAATTGTGTTATGGCTAGCTAAAAAAAGCCAATTGTGTGTAAGCTCTTCAAGAAAACCGGGTTTCATTTAGCCCGAATCCCTGTTTACGATTTATTAAATAACAATTGCAAGTCGACATCAAAAAGATTTATTTCGTCGAATATTGCATGATCATTAAAGGTATTAACGATACTGTAGTCTCAAGTGATTTGACCTAAGTGACGACGACTAAATATCAAATAGAGTTGAATTCAAAACGGGTTGTTAACTAACTTTTAAGCATAGATAGGCATTTATGTTGTACTTACAAAACGTTGTGAAAGTAATAAGTAAAACCAGCTGTGGTTCTAATGTGCTTGCAGGTGTCTTATATCTAACTAACACCTATTAATCATTCTCGACTTACTTACTTACGCCTGTTGGTCACATTCAAATCCGTCCTACACCTCCGAATACCTCTCTTATCTCCATGACTAACCCTCCTCATGTCTCTTTATCACCTCGCACCGCTAGGGCAAACGATTCGAGCACGTGGAACGCTATTCCTGGTCTCCTGAAACCACGCTCTAAACTACACGTAGGAGCTTTCAACGTCCGAACACTGTGCCAAATAGGACAACAGGCTTCCTTAGCTAGGACTTTAGAATCTCACTCCATCGATGTGTGCTGCGCATACATGATCCGAGTAGCGTCATTCATTTGACCTCACCATGCCAAAATAAAGAACCGACTCGATTTACGCTTCGTGTGTCTGGAAGCCCTGATGCTGCTTCCCGTGGCCTCGCCGGCGTAGGTATAGCATTGAGTCCTAGGGCAGAAATAGCTCTCTTAGAGTGGATCCCAGTAGACAGTCGTTTGTGCGCTGTCCGACTGAACGGAACAGTAAGAATCCGGAAAGATAGGGACACTCGTCGTTGCCTCTTCGTCGTCTCTGCCTATTCTCCCACTGACTGCAGCGGAGATGATGTAAAAGATGAGTTTTACATAAAGCTCTCCAACCTTCTCCGAAAAGCTAAGCGCTCGGATGTAGTAATAGTGGCCGGTGACTTTAATGCTCAAGTAGGTAAAATAAGCGATAGGGAAAGACACCTGGGTGGATCTTATAGCATCGTGGCTCAAAGAACAGATAATGGCGACCGTCTGTTGCAGCTATGCTCAGATAACCACCTGTTCCTTGCAAATACTAACTTTAAGCATAAGGAAAAACATCTTTGAACATGGCGACCCCCTAATTCGTCCCAACGTTGGACCCAAATAGATCGCATCGCTATCAGCTACCGATGGAGGGTCTCGATAGAAGACTGTCGCTCATCCTGAAGCAACATGCTTAGATTCAGATCACGCTCCAGTGAGAGCGCGTCTTTGTCTGCGTCTTACTGGACGTAGGAAAGACGTCGCAAGGAAACCTCTTAGGGGTCTACTAAATGATAGTCAAGCTAAGAGTATATTTCAGGAACAACTAGAAAAACAGTTAGGCAGCTATGTATGTGATGCCCACCCCGATGCAGCATGGGATGATATCCGAAAAGCTGTGGAAACAGCAGTGATATTTGCTAGTACGGCAAACCACAAGGTTAAGGAGAAACACTGGATCTCAGCAGCATCTATCGCACTGATAGATGCTCGAAAACTCATTCCACCTGGCTCTGAACATAATGAAGAACGGAGTCAGCTTAAGGGCAAGCTGACAAGAAGTCTACGCAATGATCGTGAACAGTGGTGGGTAGCGAAAGCAAGAGAGATGGAAAAGGCAGCGGCAATAGGTAATAGCAGATAATTGTTTAGTCTCGTTAAGGAAACCGGAATTAGGAACCCGACCGTTAGCGAAACAATCTCAAAGAAAGATGGACATATTATTCATTCTCAATCCAGGAGATTGGATCGATGGGCAGAACACTTCAGCGATCAGTTCAACTGGCGTTCAGCCACATTTCAGTTCCCTACGATCTCCAGTCTACCTGAATGGCAAGTTAATGTAGGTCCTCCGTCCCTTTACGAAGTTGAAAAAGCCATAGGAAATCTGAAACGAGGGAGAGCAGCAGGCCCTGACAGGTTTACTCCTGAGATTTTCAAGGATAGTGGTTCAGTATTAGCAGTGAGATTAACTGAGGTCTTAGGTAGAATTTGGGAACTGGACGTAATCCCACCTGACTGGTCTCAATCACTGATTGTGCCAGTCTATAAGAAAGGACAAAAGTCCTCTTGTGACAATCACAGAGGAATCAGTTTGACTAATATAGTGTCTAAAATATTAGCTTCAATAATACTTCGACGCCTAACTAAACCTCGTGAACAGCAGACTAGAGGAAACCAGGCTGGTTTTCGACCTGGACGTGGTTGTATAGACCAGATATTCACACTACGTCAGGTTCTAGAACACAGACACACATTCAGACGCCCCACAATCGTAGTATTTCTCGACCTTAAGGCGGCATTCGACTCTGATGATCGTAAGGTTCTATGGCAGTGTTTGTCACTGAAAGAAGTACCAAAGAAGTACATTAACCTTGTAAAGGCTCTCTACTCGAGCACAACTGGTCGAGTGAGAGCTTATGGCGAACTGTCATCAGAATTGATTACATCAAGTGGTGTTCGTCAGGGCTGTCCACTCTCTCCATTTTTGTTCAACTTTGTCATTGACGTACTTTTAGAGATAACACTCTCCTCATCTAAATTTCCAAGGGTTGAACTTCTACCAGGAGGTTCACTTGTTGACTTAGAATATACAGATGACATAGTTTTATTTGGTGAAGACGCTGACAAAATGCAGTCTTCTGACCACTCTAAGCAACTATGCAAGCATGTTCGGGATGCGATTCTCCCTCGAAATGCAAAATGTTGCTTCAGGATTGGGTTACATCGACACCCGAACTAGTGATAGGGAGTGAAGTAGTTGAGTGTGTCGACCGCTTCACTTATCTTGGGAGTTTCATCAGCCCTTGTGGTCTGGTGTGTGACGAAATCTCAGCACGGATACAGAAGGCTCGACTAGCTTTTGCCAACTTACGTCATTTATGGCGTAGGCGAGATATCCGTCTATCAACCAAAGGACGGGTTTACTGCGCAGTTCGTTCCGTCCTACTTTATGGCAGTGAAACATGGCCGGTAAGAGTAGAGGATATTCGTACGTTACTAGTATTTGATCATAGGTGTCTTCGAAGCATTGCTCGTATATCCTGGGACCATCGAGTAAGTAATGCAGTTGTTAGGAAACGGGTACTAGGTAAGGATGGCAAATCAATTGATGAAGTAGTGGAACTTCATCAGTTGAGATGGCTGGGACGTGTGTTACGTATGCCCAACGACCGACTGCCACGACTTGTGATGCTCAGTGGTATAGGAGTAGGTTGGAAGAAAGTTAGGGGCGGCCAAACCAAAACATGGCACAAGTCCATGAAGTCACTGACAAGTAGACTGAGTCATGTCGGTAGGTGTAGACTACCTGGTTCGGGACCGCGAGATGATAGCAACCGATGGTTAGAGACCCTGAATGACATGGCTCAAAATCATTTGCAATGGCGCAGGTGCATCCACTCTCTGTGTTCTCCCAAACTCTAATCTTCTGAATTCTTCATGTCCCTTTTTTCCTCTTTCCAAATTTATTTCACTGGATTATACTCCTTGAATAGCATCTTCACACCCTAATTTTTCTTATTGCTCCTTGTACTCTTACTACCTCTACCACTATGGGATTCGATTCGACCACTGCATCTCTGTGCTAATGTGGTGTGGCAACTCGAACTGATGTACGTACGTACGAAGTTCTACGTTGTTACTGACTGACTGACTATGCCTGTTACTCCTAATGGAGCATAGGCCGCCGACCAGCATTCTCCAACTTATTCTGTCCTGGGCCTTCTTTTCTAATTCCATCCAATTCTTGTTCATTTTTCTCATGTCTATCTTCATTTCCCGGCGTAATGTGTTCTTTGGTCTTCCTCTTTTCCTTTGGCCTTGAGGATTCCATGTGAGGGCTTGTCTTGTGACGCATTTAAGTCATTCTCAGCACACTGATGATATTGCAGCGTGATTATATGACATGTGTAATGAAAACCACGAGACCTGGTAAAACATAGTGGCACTAAACCGTATCTTTGTGCAATGGGTTACTCTTCATATTTGAAAATCATGTACAAAAAAGTATATCGAGTCTTTCCCTAAATACTCGCTACGTTGTCTCACACAAATTGCAAGGCGTACAACAAACTGACTCGACAAAAGCAAACTGAATCTTTCCTACGTTGTGTGTCGGTCATATATTCACATTTATCCAGAAATGCTAAACACATTTTAGACCAGCAATAGTTTTGTTTCTTGCCATCTGACCTACCTTTGATTGGTTGTACGAAACTATGCTATGGAATTGTGTTAGAGATAATTTCATTAGCAGCTTACTGAAAGTTCAGTGTATAAAATATTTTAGTCAAATAATATCAGGAAATTACCTGTCTACACTAATTTAAACCATCAGTACAGCTAAAAAAGGTCTTCAGATCTCTCTATCTACAATATTTTGGAGATATTTCAGAATGGTGCACAAATCTGTTGGTTGAAGACCTACAAGAAACGACCAGTTACATAAATTTTTATACAATGCCGTACAAACTACTTAAATCGTATTTAATTAGTCAGGTATCAGCGTTTATAGGCAGAGAATATGTTTTGCCTCACAAAATTGTCAAGTGTATGTAGAGTCGATTGGTTCATATATTTTGGATATAATTGTATATCTGACCGATTCGTAGCAAACAAAGCCCACCGTTATATGGCTATAGCAAAGTTGAAACTATTAATTGTTGTCATGTTCGACTTCGCGATGTTAACTGACTAATAAAAGTATTATTATACCTACCTCGAAGCTCGGTACCCAAGTGTTACAATTAGTAGGAAATATATCGGGAGTTACAAGACAATGAAATCTTCATTAGGAATTTATATCAATCATTGAAAATACATTCAGAAGAAAAAATTATTGCGGATATGATTATCTTGAAATAATAAAAATGAGTTTTAGTGTGGTCGCCATTAGCCACACAGAAACACTAGTTCATTATTAACCCACGGTAGTTTGAGTTTAATGTGGACAGTTTCATGCAAGATCGCCAACTAGATATGAACTTTCAGGAGTCGAGTTACATTGTTTGAAACATTTATGACATTTGAATTATGGGTAAACAGAAATGTACTTTTACATGAGATTCAAAAAACCGACGCACCAAAACAAAATACCCATAATGGTTCTAACCATCCTAAACTGTTAGTAGCAGTTAAAGTAGTATCTGGTACGACCTTGCATAGTTTCAAGTTTCCATGTTCGACATCAGTAAACTAAAAGGAAATAGCTTTAAGCAACTGACAGGATAAAAGGAACTCAGAACATTTACTGTAGTTCAGAATGAAGATTTAGTGTGAAAAGGACTGGTATATATGGGAAATTTCGGTATTTTCACGAATCGATCACTAGGGGTATGGGTTCTTGTTATATTCTGATAAGAATAATGAATGGTAACTTTTTGGATCCATTTATGGACCAATACTATGAGTATATTTTTATCGTATAATTGTTATGTAACTAAAATGTTCATATTCATGTCGCTCTTATTATAAGCTTTACTTTGACCCATAGACTATTACTATACGATTTACCATTCTTGGGTTACGGCCTGTCTATTAATTACTATCTCCCTCATTCATAGCCATATTTGGCTAATTCTTGTACAAATGTTTCATATTTTGTTGTACGTTGTGGTGTCTGGTTGATACATAAACCGAGTGTTTGAAATAAATGATTCATATTGCATAAGTTGAGATTGGTGTTCTGGACATAACTGGCTGGGCCAGACAGGAAGCGAGACCAATAAAGACTCTAGGCTGTTCGCACGTGTTTTATGAGTCACTGCTTCGATCGATAATTCGCTGCTCTCTGATTGGCGGTATCGTTGCGTTATACAATAAACAGGACACACAGGTTCACAAGTTATAACAGTTTTGAAGCGTTAGGTTCCACTTTACCTAAGTGCTTTGAAAATATTGGAATTTTTTGAGTGGTTACGGTTGGATTTTGTGGGAATCTTTTATTTTTCCAACAGAAATTCTCGTTTACAAACAGCGAAAAATTTGTATTACCTGAAAGCCGAACTGGTAACCACAAACATGGATATGAGAAAGGAAATTTATTTTCACTATACAGGATTACAATAACTAAGTAACATTAAGTTTTCTACGCTTATTAGTTACAGATGTTGCTTTGCATTCTGGTGAGTTTTCTGAATTAGATGAGGAATGATTATACATACTTTCTACAACTTGCTCATTTTTTGAATGCGGTAAATCGCGGGACTGATATACAATTGTGTCTACGATTCTGCCTAGGGCATAGAAGTTTGAAGATGTAAGTTCGAGCAGTCTAGTAACTTTCGCGAATCCACGGGTTTTCATCAGTTCTTCAGCAGTATATGTGTCTGTCGAAAAAAAATGCGATGAGAGTTTAAAATGTAAGGCGTGAAATTACAAAGCATGTAAAATAGCGTTAGCTACAATTTGAAATTTATGTGGTCCTCGCTAGTTACCTCACTAAGTTGTTCGAAGGTAAGTAATAAAGTGTCTCAGTGATGACCACAAATATTAATTTGTTAAGAATGATAATTTTTCAGTAAAATTAATCATTAACGATTAGTGAAGATTAAAATTTTAATAGCCTCTTTAGCTATTGTCAATAACTAGCAAATAAAAATCCACAACAGTTTATAAAACCAAATCACTCAGTCGGTGACAAACGGAATCAAAATTAACATATATATCCACAATTAGCAACTTCAGAATTCGATCTATTGAACCAATATATGTGAGTAATCAATAACTGGCTTTTAACTACATATTACTACAATTTATTTCCTACTCTACATTAAAGTGAAACCTCCTTTAGATCAAAGGAATACTTTTAACTGAATTGTACCTTTTATTATGTATCATTCTTTTTCACTTCAATTACATCTTAACGACACTTTTTACTGCCGACTTTGACAAGTACACGTTGCAACTATCACAGTAGATAAATATGGATGCAGATATATTCACCAACAATTACAACTTGGCTGCTTTACAATAAATCTTCAAATCACTTTTGAAGTGGAGTTAGTAATTACGATTCACAAAAATTTCCAAAGTGGAGAATGTGATCCACTCAAATAAGCGCATTTCCTAAGAGATTTAATAATATCTAATGGGAAAGAATAAGTATTATGGTATTGAAAAATTAATGAAGCTCAAAAGCATACTTTTTGTTCAGCTTAATATGCTGCTAAGATCGGGAAATTTAAGTAACAAGGTTATCGAAAACTTAATCTTATTTGTTCTGTATTGCACAGTAAATTTTAGTCTACAATCTCTCAAATTATTTATCTCTTTTCAACAATCAATATAAATTATAAAACTGGTGGTACCATAGACTATTAAAAAGCACTGTCTTAAAGTGGAAACTTACTTAATATACAATGATATAATTCTAAGCAAACTGCAGATGAATCTTTACGCCAAATATTGTTGTAAATAAATCCAAAAATGTATTCTAACTGACGATTATCTCTACCTGCGATTGCGGCAACTAACGTATCTCTTCTTATTAATTCTCGTACAACAGCAAGTGCTAAGTTTAAACAATATTGAGGGGTAGGAATGGTTTTTCTTTTAAAGCGACGCATCCATGATCGATAGGTTAAAGCTAACGTCAATGCACGAGAGTGATTAAAACGTCTAAGTAGAACGTCTACTCGATTATATGTATTTGTCAGTGTTTGAGAGTAAAACGACTGCCCACTGCGTGATATTTCCGTTTTCTGTTTTCATTATAAATATAAAAGGGAATCAAGTCATTAGAAATAGTCTTTAAAAGTTTAAAGACTATTTGTAAATCAAATCTTAATAACAAGAAATACAAGTTATGGATATAAACAACTTGCATTTTGTGGTAAATATTGTAGGACAATGTTAGCGATTTATCTCATTTTTATTTATTTAAGGTACATAAAATCTGGTACAACCAGTAACTAAAAAATAGAATGTATCACACAGAATGGAGAAATAACATTGTGAAGAGAAGAAGAGGGAGAGGAAGTATACTTGAAAGAGGAAGATAAATAAATAAACACAGTAAACAATCACAATATATAATAGAACATACAGTTAACTTTACAATCGAGAAAGATTCCGCGAGAACAAATGGCGTATGAACATCTCCTAACGTTGCTCCACTGTTTTGCGGATCAGATCTCTAGATCAAAGACAAAAAGGGGTGACCCACCGAGAAAAAAACCTGCTTCGATCTAGACGTTGGGTTAGTATCCCTGTCTACAAACTAATATGATCATTACTGATAAAGAATTAGTTCTCAGTCTCTCTTGCCATTCATACAAACGATATATACAATTTATCAAGAATATTGCCCGTTGGAGTTGCTTGTCATACAAAGATTATCAACGACAAGTTTCCCAACACAAATTTGTCCTGAAGATTCATCTGGCTTTTTACTTTTATTTTTACTACTTCGACTCTTCCGTTTACTTAACGTCTGTATTCATAACTAAATACACTAGCTCACTTAGTGATTTGATCATAGTATTCTAGACAATATATCAAATGGGACTTATGATGATCAAAGGATTTTAACGATAACAGGTTTCTAAAAACAGGCGATGAAGATCTTATTGTTATTTTGAATGAGAAATACAGTGCTAGCAAGATTTTGGGCGTGGAACTGAAAAGCCCTTGGAAATTGTTTGAGAAAATTCAAATGAAACAGTGGTATCAAGAGCTTACTTGGTGAATTAAAGGGACATACGGCCTTCCGGTTGCTTTAAATTTTTCGGGTGAAAACCAGTCCCTGGGAGCACGGCGAGAACCAGTTAAGGGTACTTCTAGCCATTCGTTCATTTTCATTGACATAAAGCGATCGCCTTTATTTGGTTTTGAAAACTGAGACAATAAACTCATATATGGATCCTCTGTGTCACTAGAAGACGCTTTGTTTTGCCCCTCAGATGATGCCGAGACAAATGTGTCTATTTTCGAGTCGTAGTGTTTGATTTTAACGAAACCATGTTCTCCTCCTATTACAAGACTTCCACACTTTGGCTACAATATTGTATAAACAGGAACAGAAAAATGAGTTATCTAACGTGGTACAAAATTTAAAGTGATGAAACTTAATTCGGCAAAATACTGAATAGAGTGTATTAAGCAGACTATTATCAGGTAGTATAAATGTAAATTATACAGGGAAGGACTGCAGAATGAGTAACTGACATTTAAAATTAAGTAAACACGTTGTATTGTGTATTTCATCCACAAAAGTTGAGATGGCGAGATTATCTGATGAAACAGATATGGTTAAAAATGCAGTTCATCGGTAGATTTATACTATTTTACCACCAACAATTAGATAACACATAATATTACCACGAAACAAACAACTAGTAAAGCAGGTATAAAAGATCCGAGTGGATTCAATGATTTATATCCTCAGGAGCGAACCCGAACGTTCTAACGAATAGGAGAAAACCTCTAGTTTAAGCACAGGAAGAAACAATTCTTAAGACATATTTTGTTTGATATGTTGATAGAGATCGATTTTCGGATCATCAAATGCGTAAATTATAACACCCTTGCTATTCCTGTTACTTCAATGAAAATGGATGGACCAGAACAGGAATGGAAGGGTACAAAACTACGGTTAACAAAAAAGTAAACTACCGTGACACCTATAGCAGTCAAAGGCGATGAACATTGGAGCTGATACAATTCTTTACCATCCAGCAAACTGGTGAACTTGACGAGCTTGTCTAGCGAAACAGATAAAAGTACTTCTTCGTCTGTAATGGGATGTTGTTCAATGAATAAACCAGTAATAACTTTGTAATGAAGATGTAGGTCTTGACTTGTTCCATAGTCATGAAATTTCTGAGCTGAGAAGTCCCAGGACTGTACAACTGAACCAGCAGCAACAGCCAAAATTTTATCCGTCTTGTTAAGAGCAAGAGCAGAAACCGCAGACGGAAATGTGATTTTTTGAACAGATTTTGGCTTGAAAGTGGAATCAAAACAGTGAGTAAACTGTATAAACTAAACTGAAGTTCATATACACTGTCAAGTAGAACTAAATTATTATAATTCCTATTTAAATACACAGCCCAGTGCAAATTTTTGGTTACTTTAACGTAAGAAATAGAAACAAACCGTAAATTTTGCATAAAATAACCTGTTCTATGGAGAAATAACTCCGCCTGTAGCTCTTATAGGGTTACTGCCGGTCCCAAGCCCGGGTAAAGGAGGAGGGTTGGGCATGGGGTTAGCGTCCCCATCCCGTAGAAAACTAACTCGCTAAAAAAAACGCTTACCAGAAAAAATAATCCAAACCATTTTAACTCTGCCCTGGGAGTTAGAAGGTCTTCATTTAGAAGAATTATGACGCTTCATGGTGAAAGCTGAGTTCCTTCGGAAGCCACGAGGCCGATGCCCCTTCTAACAACAAGAGCAACAATTTTTATAGGTACATGGAACGTTCGAACAATGTGGGAAACCGGGAAGACCAGTCAAATAGCAATGGAAATGAGGAGATACAACTTATCAGTACTGGGAATCAGCGAAACACACTGGATCCAAGCTGGACAAAAAAGGCTAGCTACGGGAGAGATGCTGCTATACTCCGGTCACGAAGAGGACAATGCTCCACACACTCAGGGAGTCGCTCTTATGCTGTCCAAAGTAGCACGAAATGCACTTGTAGGATGGGAATCTCACGGATCCAGAATCATCAAAGCATCATTCAAAACAAAGAAGGAGGGGATCACAATGAATATTATCCAATGTTATGCACCCACCAATGATAGCAACGACGACATTAAAGATCAGTTCTACGAGCGGCTGCAGTCAATCATTGAGAAATGCCCAAGAAAGGACCTAACTATTCTGATGGGAGATCTCAATGCCAAAGTCGGAATAGACAACACTGGATATGAAGATATTATGGGACGACATGGACTGGGAGAAAGAAACGAAAATGGAGAAAGATTTGCAAATCTATGTGCATTCAACAAATTGGTCATAGGAGGCACAATATTTCCACACAAGCGTATACACAAGGCTACATAGATTTCACCGGACCACAATACAGAGAACCAAATAGATCATATTTGCATCAACAAAAAATTCCGAAGGACAATGGAAGATGTGAGAACCAGGAGAGGTGCTGACGTAGCTTCAGATCACCACCTAGTTGTAGCCAATTTAAAATTGAAGCTAAAAAAGAACTGGACAAGTGGACAAACAGCACTACAAAGGTTCAATACAGCCTTCCTTCGAGATACTGACAAACTCAATGAATTCAAGATAGCTCTCAACAACAGGTTCCAAGCCTTACAGTATCTACTGAAAGAAGGAGAAACTAGGATGGAGGACAACTGGAAAGGCATCAAGGAAGCATTAACTTCAACGTGTCAAGAGGTTCTCGGTCTAAAGAAATACCATAATAAGGAATGGATCTCTACAGAAACACTGGACAAGATCAAAGAAAGGGAGAGCAAAAAGGCAGCAATAAACAGCATCTGAACACGAGCAGAGAAAGTCCAAGCACAAGATGAATACATAGAAGCAAACAAACAATTGAAGAGGAGCATTAGAGCCGACAAGAAATACGTAGAAGAATTAGCAACGACGGCAGAAAAAGCTGCTAGAGAAGGAAATATGAAACAGCTTCACGATACAACGAAGAAACTAGCAGGGAAATATAGTAAACCAGAGAGACCGGTCAAAGACAAAGAAGGCAAGCCAATCACCGAAATTCAACAACAGCGTAACAGACGGGTAGAATACTTCGAGGAACTCCTGAATAGGCCGGCTCCAATGAATCCACCGGACATCGAAGCAGCACACATAGATCTACCTATAGATGTCAACCCACCAACTACGGAAGAAATTAGAATGGCCGTCAGACAAATCAAGAACGGGAAAGCAGCGGGACCCGACAACATACCAGCTGAAGCACTGAAATCAGACATCGAAGCAACCACAAGCATGCTTTACCTTCGATTCAAAAAGACTTGGGAGGAGGAACAAGTGCCGATGGACTGGAAAGAATGACACCTCGTCAAGATTCCAAAGAAAGGAGATCTGGACAAATGTGAAAACTACAGAGGCATTACACTACTGTCAATACCATGGAAAGTCTTCAACAGAGTGTTGCTGAACCGGATGATGGATGCAATGGACGCCCAACTTCGAGATCAACAAGCTGGATTTCGTAAGGATCGGTCGTGTACAGACCAAATTACAATACTACGGATCATCGTCGAACAATCAGTTGAGTGGAACTCATCACTATACATCAACTTCATTGATTATGAAAAGGCATTCGACAGTGTAGATAGGAGGACATTATGGAAACTTCTTCGACACTACGGAGTTCCTGAGAAGATTGTCAATATTATCCGGAACTCATACGACGGACTACAGTGCAAAGTAGTGCATGGAGGACAGCTGACAGACGCATTCCAAGTAAGGACCGGAGTCAGACAAGGCTGTTTACTCTCTCCCTTCCTCTTTCTTCTGGTGGTCGACTGGATTATGAAGACCTCAACATCTGAAGGAAAACACGGAATACAATGAACAGCTCAGAATCAATTAGACGATTCGGACTTCGCAGATGACCTAGCCCTCCTATCACGTACACACGAACAGATGCAGATGAAGACAGCCAGTGTAGCAGCAGTCTCTGCATCAGTAGGCCTCAGCATACACAAAGGGAAAACCAAGGTCCTCAAATTCAAAGCGGAGAACAGCAATCCAATCACACTTGGTGGCGAAACTCTGGAAGATGTAGAATCCTTCACATACCTAGGAAGCATCATCGATGAACAAGGAGGTTCAGATGCAGACGTAAAGGCGAGGATCGGCAAAGCAAGGGTCGCATTCCTACAATTGAAGAACATATGGAACTCAAAACAACTTTCAACCAATATCAAAGTGAGAATCTCCAATACGAACGTCAAGGCAGTTCTACTGTATGGAGCTGAAACTTGGAGAACTACAACGACCACAATCAAGAAAGTACAAGTTTTTATAAATAGCTGTCTACGCAAGATACTCAACATCCATTGGCCGGATACCATCAGCAATAGCCTTCTGTGGGAGAGAACAAACCAACTTCCAGCTGAAGAAGAAATTAGGAAAAGACGATGGAAATGGATAGGACATAAATCACGCAAATCGTCAAACTGCATCACGAGGCAAGCCCTAACTTGGAATCCTGAAGGGAAGCGAAAAAGAGGAAGGCCAAAGAACACATTGCGTCGGATAATAGAAGCAGATATGAAAACGATGAATTACAACTGGACGGAGCTAGAAAGGATTGCCCAGGACAGGGTTGGATGGAGAATGCTGGTGAGCGGCCTATGCTCCTTCACGAGGAGTAACAGACGTAAGTAAGTAAGTAAATATGGAGAAATAGAAAACTCAAGATATTTTCCCACCGAATTCCTGGACTTTTCTATTAACCCTGTGTTATCACTACTAGTATTAGAACGGTGCTTTTTTGATGGCAGGACTTGCTCTCATTCGATGATGGCGGTTGTTTCTAAAAACCTTGGAAATTCAAAAGCCTATTACAAGTGTATTTCAGGTACTGAGGACAATTACTTTTTCTTACTTTTTCAAACCAACAGCTAAGATTAACACACATTTTACTTCGTCTTTTTGTTTTGGCGGTATTCCACAGTTTTGGATGAATCCTTGTAGAATTTATAGCTATATACGCATTGGTAGTAGAAATACGAACGTATTTCATTATTTTATAACTCACGGATTGGAGACTATCTATAAGTATATCACACCACTTACATTACCAATGTGAGGATTATCTTAAAATTAATTGCACTTCATGCTCACCTTAAATAGTAAATCGTTGGAAATGACAAAGTAATTGGTGCATCTGTGTATCTCTATTATTAGTAGCGAGTCCGTATAAAATAAGTCAACGGCACCAATGTCAACTAAGGTTATTTTTCAAGCAATACGTAACACCAGAATACAAAACACTTATCTACTATGCCTTAACAAGAGCATTTTAATAAAATTAAACCTAAAATGAAGCGACTCAACTTGTTTACGTTTATTGATGACTACATCTATAGCTTTTAGAAAAGAAAAGCAATATCTGCCAGAAAGAGTTTAAAACCAATCTAAAAACTGTTAGACATTTTGGCACAAAAGGATGGATTAAATCATTTCTCTAACTTCACTATGACTCATGTTTAATAGCTAAAGGGATAGCTAAGGATAGCTAAAGGAAGTAGTCATTACCCGTCATATTAAATATATAGATCTATTATCCGTATATACACCACATGTGATAGCTTAATCTCTAAGTAACCATGAAAGAATTTTATTTTCTCAATTTTATCGTTTACACTTCTAACAACCTAAATCTCAGGGGATTCTTTACACGCCGCTTGAGTATTTTTTCATGTACCATTATAATCTCTTAAGGATAATATTCTATTATGCACAGAAACCTCATTTCCGTGGATTGATCTAAACAAATATCAACCCTACTTTGAACGAGATAAAGATCTACATTACGAACAATGGGAAATGCCCGAAATTTTAGTGACTGAATGACAAGATTTAACCGCAACTAGAAGCCTTACCTCGCGCACATCGTAAATGGCAACGTTTCCATTAAGGTCACCAAAGCATAATAGGTTATTGTCGACTCTGCCTGTTACCATGCCACGAGCAACTTCGCTTCCATTGCAAACTGCATAACGTCCTAATGGGGAACCCAGTGTGACGTCCCAAATTCGAACACTTGCATCTGATCCAAGACTAGCTGCACGTAACCCATCGTAAAAAAATGAAGCTGTTGAAATAGAACTAAGAAGTTACAAAAAACGGTCAGACATACCCCTGGTGTGCCTTCATCTTCCGAAGATGAAACTTGTTTTTGTCCGTAGTACAAATACGCAGAGTTCCGCCTTCTTCACCCACAATGACAAGTTTCCCATCATTTCTAAAATTACAACAAACTACTCGAGCCGAAAATCCACTTAATTTACGGAAACGTTTATCACTTTCACATTTGTAAAGATTGACCTAGAATACTCTACAAGGAAATCAAAAGTCACGTACATTATATCCATCTGGAAGACCATACTTGTAAGGAGGTGTTACGGAAATAGCAACCGAGTTAATGCGATGTACAAGTTGTAATGGTTTTCCATTCTACAAGTTGATTTATCACCTTTTCAAACTAACTTTATAGCTGTCCCAAACATTTATAGCTTCCTTTTTCTGTACATACGGAACTAATATACTATGAGTTGAAGGCATCATGATTCACCTAAGAGTAACGCATTGATTGGATATTGCGGTTCAGGCAGTTCAAATAGTTGTGGACGAAATAAACATTTTAGCCCAACAGACTCTCATATTTGCTAATATTAATGACTTTACCAAATATTTTGTTTTTGGCACAATATAAAGTTTTCAGTACAAAGTTTTTCAGCACGTTTACTTTACAAAACAGTTGAAAAAAACGATAGGTGCAGACATAGACGAATAAATTAAGTAAATAAACTACCTGGAGTTAAATGAATCGTATTTTTTATGTATATTTGGATATGTACATTTCTTGATTCAAGAATACAAGTTGTTGACTAGGTCCAAAAGGTTCGAATGTTTCAAGTGATTTTGGACGGAATAGAAGGAGCTTTCACAATTGATTGATCACTGGGTGGTGATCAATGTCATGCTTGTCTAGTCCTTATTAGTGCAGATCGAATGCTATCGATCATGTTGCAATGTGGCCACCAGTCTAGGTGACTCGACACTGCGGGCACTATGTATTGATATTTAGATGGTGGTTGGAGGTAGTCAACAGGAAACCCTGGACCCGGGTTTCGTGCTACTTGGCACTCGTCAGCAAGGTGTACCCGTAGTCTTGAGGGAACTGATGCTCCCTGGCGGATTTGATCTCGTGTCACCCAGCTTCACAGTCGAGTCACCTAGACTGGTGGCCACATTGCAACATGATCGATAGCATTCGATCTGCACTAATAAGGACTAGACAAGCATGACATTGATCACCACCCAGTGATCAATCAATTGTGATTACATCTCAGTCCTACAGGAGGTTAGTCACGGCTCGGATAGCTCAGTGGTAACTTCTCTGACTGTGAAGCTGGGTGACACGAGATCGAATCCGCCAGGGAGCATCAGTTCCCTCAAGATTACAGGTAGACCTTGCTGACGAGTGCCAAGTAGCACGAAACCCGGGTCCAGGGTTTCCTGTTGACTACCTCCAACCACCATCTAGAAGGAGCTTTCGCCTATCGAGCTTCCGTGTCTAATAGCGGTGGATCACCAATACTTCCAGGCAGGAACCTAAGTATATTAGCGATAGGAGAGGAAAAATTGGTAAATCGTAATAAGATAGTATACCTAGTGCTTAAAAATATGTCGAGTTTTCTTTTAAAGTATTCCTTGGAAGTCGCTTGGAATAGCTCAGCCGGCAGCGAATTCCAGAACTTGACTACTCTTACGTAGTAGAAGTTAAGCCTACGTTTCGTTCTGCTATGTCGTTTCTCTATTTTATGGGTGTTTTCCCTTAGGTTTGTGTTTGATCTAAACTTAACTAGGTGTTTGAGGTGATGTCCAGAAATGTTAAGGATGTTGTGAGTCTTACGAAGGTCACTTCCAAGACGTCTGTATTCTAACGGGTACAACTTTAGTGATTGGAGGCGCTCTTCATAAGGCTTGACTTTGAGTCCCCGAACTGATTTCGTGACTCGCCGTTGGATATGTTATAGAGTGTCTTTATCTTTTTGGAGTGAGGGAGGAAATACTGTGCTTCCGTACTCCATATGCGGATGAATGAAATTGTTGAAGTATGTGTGGAAAGTTCATTCGTCAAACTGCCGAAAATGCGCTTCAATGTTACTAGTGAAAGGTTTGCTCGAAAGGCATTTTTGTCCAAGTTAGCGTAAGAGTTCAAATCGTAGGGTACCAACACTCCTAGACCTATTTGAATTTGAGATTCCCTTAGGAGGGAGTTTCCTAAGTTGTAGCTGTAGTCTGCATTATATCTCAGATAGACTACTTTACACTTTGAAATGTCAAAGGTAAGTCCGTCGTCATCTGCACAACCGTGAAGTTCAGTTAGATTCTCCTAAATTCGCAGTATATCCTCTCGGTTTCGTATCTCTCTCCAAAGTTTCATATCATCAACAAAAACTAATACGTCAGACGATACCTGTTGTGGAAGATCGTTTATGCAAATCAAGAAAAGAAGATGTCTTTGAACTGAACCCTGGAGGACCCCACTAGGCATTCCATAGCCTGAGAGAAAGTGAAGTTAACCATAACCTTCAAATGCCGGGTTTTTAGCACTGAAGTGAGCCGGTTATGTAGAGGTAATTTGATACCCAATCGTTTGAGCTTATTGATAAGACATGACCCTATTAAAAGCTTTCTAGAAATGAAGGTAAATGGCGTCAACCTTCACCTCGCGACCAACGATGGTTGTCCATCTGTCCACCGCAGTCAGCAGGTTGGTTACAAAAAAATGACCCTTCCTGAAAACCATGCTTTAACAGCCTGTTTGTCACACAGTACATTTGCTAAGTAGGGTATTGTAGAGCTTTCATGCTTTTGCTTGCGTGCTTAAACTCTAATGTACTGACGTCTCGTCCTTCCAGAATATATACAAAGAGAAATATACGGATAAAATGGATGGTTGGTATTTACAAGACTTTAGATATCTACCCGCAACCATATTATTAATGACTTCAATAGATTCACTACACACCCCGTTAACTGACTTCAGGACTCTTCAGAATATAGTAAGGTTTTTTCTCAAAATCTTGAGAAAGAATAGTGGTGAACAGTAAAGGATAATAGGTAATATACGAGAATCAACAAATCGTAAGAGAAAATGTATAGTAATACCAAAAGCATACAGACTCCTTGGGCAGTAAATCAAACGGAATACTTCAGTAACAACAAAACATGAAAAGACTTATAGAGATCAGAGGAAAGGCTTACCCTATACAAAATACCTTCGACACTGATTATGAAGGAGCCTTCAGTGGTACACGTTTTATGGGATTGCAATGGGGTGTTGTTCATGTCTAGCGCTAAAGTTAACAGTTTGACATTTAAATGAACTAAATGTGAGACAATAAACAACAGACCACTGTTTAATTAGGAATAAAAACTTTCATTAAAAGGAATGTGAAGAGGTAGAGATCGGCATACATGCAGTGAGATCATTACATATTTAATAGAAGTGTTTTCTGTGGGAGTTGGAAGATCATGCAGAAAAAAAGAGATAAGAGGAGAGAGAACAACACCTTATGGCACATTTTCACGAGTCAGTGGAAACGTCGAGCACTTCCCTCTCAAAACAATGCACTCTCCTCTTCCTGAGAGATGTGGACATAGGTGGTTGTTTATCTAGTTGTCAGTGTTGATGCTGAATAAATTGTTAGGTGGAAGTTGTCTTGGGGTTAGGTCAAAGGCAAAAATACAATCTGAACTACGAATTGAACAAACTTCTCACCATTCTCCAAGCTGGACAATATATTATAATGAAGAACAACAGCACAATCTAAGGCGCTTTTCCTGCATTTGTAGGCTAACTTATAAGTGTCAGTATGCTCTTCTAATGCAGGTTGAAGTAGGAGTACCGAGTGTTTTCTCATTGCCTTGATAAAAAGTGAAGTAATTACCATACACTTTAATTTTACATTATTATCACCAGATACATTCTTAAACCGTACAAATAATTGACGAGATTAAATACACTTTGCTAGAAGAAAATGATAGAACATATTTAATTAGGAAGCCTAAAACAAGATAAGCGTACGATAATCGTTACAGACAAGTGGGGAAATCGGTAGACTTAACGAATGAGAAAAACATTTGTAGTATATGACGAATCCTCGGGAATACGTCATTCTTCCACTTGAAAGACATCTGATAATTCATTTAAACCATCTCAGTTGTTAGCGAATTCCAGAATTCCACAAATCATAACGGAAAAACATGAACCTACAATCCATTCTGTCAAGTTATGACTTTAATTTTCGGCGCTGTCTCTAAAAATTGTATTCGGATTGAGCTATTTAGCGTGGTCTCAGGGATGTTTATTATTATTATTATTATTATTATTATTATTATTATTATTATTAGCTTTATTCAATATTATAATTTTGGTACAATATAGAATTCTCAGCGCAAAGTATTTCAACAAGTTTCCGTTTCTTTCTTCTTGGTCGGTCCTGGCTATAAATATTGAGGAATCGTCAGTTAGATGTTAGCACTTCAGTGAATGAACAACTGAATAATGTACATTCTTTTCGTTGTACATTGCCAGCAACCATATTGTCTCTTATTGAGTTTTCTGTAACTTTGACAACGAAAGGTTGTACACTTTTCAGAAACGCAGCAGAATAGGTTATGCGATTAATAAACATAATGATATATTAAAACAAACAACAATAGATAACTTGTTGAAATATCTAGATGGCAGGAACAGGTAGCCCAGATGCTCAAGCAGGCCGCCCAATAATGATAAGGATGCTTATTCATTAGGTCACGTCTGAGATGCCTATACTCTGACAGGTTGACGTCCAGTGATTTGAGGTGTCCTTCACAATGTTTAAATGTTAGTCCCCGAAGTGATTTCGTGACTCACCTCTGGACACGTTCCAGTGTATTCTTATCCTTTTGAAGTTAGGAAGGAGACACTATATTTTCATAAGTTAAGTAAAGCCGAATAAAACTATTAAAAAGTGGAAACTTGTACTGTCAAACTGACCCAAAATGCGCCTTGACGTGATCAGTGCAAGGTTTGATTGCAGGGCATTTTTGTCTCAGAGTAAAACTTTAGATTATAGCGTACCAGGACTACCAGATCTTTTCCAACTCGAGACGCCTCCGGAGGTGAGTCACCTAGTTTGCATGCATACGCTGCGGAATATTTCGCATGGATTACTTTACACTTTGGAGTGTTGAAAATAAGTCTGTTGTTATCCCACCGACTGTGGGGTAAAGTCAGATCCTTCTGAACTACCAGCTTGTCATCGTGGTTACAAACTTCTCTATCAGGTTCCACAATGTCAGTAGAGCAATAAATCAGATTATACTTAATGAAGGAGGTCAACTATGTGAATTGATAACTGAAGAGGTCTTAGTGCTGGACTCTGAAGGATCCAACCAGGATATTTGATAGCCTGAGAATAATCTAAGTTTACGCGTACCCTAAAATGCTGATTATTTAAATATGAAGTAAGTTAGTCTACCAACAGTGACTTAGTATCTTACATTTTGAGCGACGTATATTATTGAGCCTATCAATGGCATTTGGGAGTCAATCTATATTGAGTCAACCTTACTTTTACGATCGAGGATGGCTGTTCACCTGTCCATAACGTTTGAGGGTATTTAATGAAGTACTACTGCTTGGTAGCTTTAAGGTTCAGTGAGTCGGTTTTCTCTGAAAATTAGTGTAATGTGAGCCAGCATCCAATTTTACAGAACAGTGCGTCGGTTGAGGGTATGCCTATATTGCCAATATCTAGATCAGTTATATCAGTATGGCAGCATGAACCATATCCGGAGTAAGAGGAGTTTCCTCGTTTAATTGCTTCAGTTTCTGATAATAACAATAGTATATTTCTGACAGAGCAGGCACATGTCACTTTTTTCAGGTATGATCAATAATTCACAAAATTGATTCGCAGGTAAATTACTTCTCAAGTACAAGTGAAATAAGTTCAACTGATAGAGAGAGATTTAAATTTAGAATCGAGTAGGTTGTTCATCAAAACTGAAAGTACATCGAAAGAGGGTAAATTATCAAGAAACGCTAATATTTATACCTTTTATTATCTGTCATTTCTTCTTTTCTCTCTTTTGTCCATCTAGTGCCAGCCTCTAGGTCATAGTGTAAAAGAACGAGTTATCATGTTACAGGTTCTCTGGGTAAAATGGTGAAGCCAGCATAAAATTGGAGATATGACTCTGATTGAAGGGCATAGGACGAAAATCTTAGTTCGACTGACTAATTTTCTAGTCCTTTATCATAAATATTTTGAAACAAACAAAATGTTCCGCCCCAAGAAGATTAGTGGACTGAGGTCATCACCCTCACCATCAATGTCAGTAACTCCACCCTCTCTCTTGGCCAGTGTTCAGGTTCACTTCTGAGAGTATAATTAAGTTGTAAGTGATCTCGTCTGTACGTGAGGGTTGGAAAGCCTAAAAAATATTGTCCTGGCATAAGGTCGGTGTCAGCGTCGTTGTTGTTTGGATCAACTAATAAACAAAAATCAATTTTGTTCAGGCAAAGAGAGGTTACGTTATAGAACGAGCTTTTCGGATCGCACACAAATTTGACTAGCTTTATTTGATGCCAAAGCCTATCTTCTATTATTGCTTTTGTTCAACCGTTTTTTTCTTAACTGAACCGCCTTTATGTGCTCGAGTTGAATAAAGTTGGTTAGAGCAGTAGCATATCTTAACAGATATGCGGTCTATATGACCATCATATGCTTCCGTCACTAAGATAAGTCTATGAGTGTAGACTGTCTGACAATTGAGGAATTAGATGCGGTTGAACGTAGTGTATTAGTCTTAGCGCGAAAGCAGGCGTATGGGGAAATGATAGAGCCTGGCCTTCTGTAGAGAGCTGAATAACTGCAGAATGTGTGAGTAGATTTATGGTTATGCAAACGTACTGATGTGAATTGTGTGCTTACGACTGAAATACAATAGTTAGTTAGAAAAGCCATGGTTGAATGAATCCAGAGGTTTTTATACGGAACCAGATGAAGCTTGGTGGTCAACGTAAACAAAAGAAAATACTGAAAATCTCTCCACAACATTTCATTGGACAGTATAGTTATTTATTTGTTTCCAATCCCTGTCTTGTATTTTAACCTTTATTCAGCTCTCTTTTGACCACCCATTATGTTCTTCAGTCTTTTGACTCTGATCTTTTATCCTTTCTAACTTTAAAAGGATAAGAATACACTGGAACGTGTTCAGAGGTGAGTCACGAAATCACTTCGGGAACTAACATTTAAACTGTATATCACCAACGTAGATGATCTGTGTCGAAATGATTGGAGGCCTACTCGAGTTAGACGTGAATGGTGTGACGAACCAACTAACGTCGAAGTCACACCTCGTTGTCAGCACCTTACGTGGACTACCCCCATTGATGTAACAAGGTACTATAGATGCTTTGAAGACTGTACAACACAAAGGACGTTATTACAGAAATATATTAGTTAAAGTAGATACAAGCGAAAGTAAGACCATTGCCGCATGAGCCAGTCCATGGCATACCATTAACTAATGCGCGTTTGTTGTACATGACCTTGGCAGGGAGCGACGATCTGTTCGACATTCAGTGATCCAACTGCCGGATGATTTGGCTAGGGCTCAGTGACATTTCACTGGTCCTACAAAACATTGTGAGACAAAAATGCCCTGCAATCAAACCTTGCACTGATCACGTCAAGGCGCATTTTGGGTCAGTTTGACAGTACAAGTTTCCACTTTTTAATAGTTTTATTCGGCTTTACTTAACTTATGAAAATATAGTGTCTCCTTCCTAACTTCAAAAGGATAAGAATACACTGGAACGTGTCCAGAGGTGAGTCACGAAATCACTTCGGGGACTAACATTTAAACATTGTGAAGGACACCTCAAATCACTGGACGTCAACCTGTCAGAGTATAGGCATCTCAGACGTGACCTAATGAATAAGCATCCTTAACATCCCTGAGACCACGCTAAATAGCTCAATCCGAATACAAATTTTGGAGACAACTGCTGAAATTTCAGAGTCACTGTTTCTTTGCTACTAGACATGGAAGTCCGTTGAATAAAAACTTCTTTCCTTTCCCCAACCATATCAATCGTTTGAAGTGGTCGAGCTGAACCATTTGAAGACTCTACACCGTTTCAACCTCAAGGACGTTGTAGATATTCGAGTTCTTATAATTTTAAGACCGCTGTGATTGTTGGCATTAGGTTTTATGTAGTCTTGTTAACTGTACTTTTTAGTGGTTAAGCAAAGTTTTGGACTTCAGTGTCAAACATATTTTAAACAAATAACGACCTGTTTATGCAAAATATGAGAAAAACAACTAAATTTTCGGATGTACTTCTCAGACCACTTGGTGCGAGTGTCTAGGAATAGAAAAATGAACATAACTGTAGACCTGGGGCTGTTCTCTCAACACCGATATGTTTTAAATCGAGGACATTAGACGAAAACCAATGGTCATTATTTTCCTAATAAAGTGATGAAAACGTTTTGCTATGATTGGGACTCCTAGTCCTTATCTCTTGCACTTAATAATAACTTGGTGATGAAGTCTATATTACTACTTTTGAGTGATTTAATTTCCCCAAGTGCACTTTAATTGCTCTCAAATATCGTCCATTAATTATGGTGTCATTCAAGTTTCTGCTAGTTGAAGAAGCTCTAATCGATGAAAACTTTAAAGGTATTGTAGTGTTTCATCAAAATATTTTAGGTCACCTGATCAATCGAATTTAGTTGTGATATCAAAAACTATATTCAAGTCAATCCGGTCCATGAGTTGATTTTCTGCGTATATGCACACCAACTTACGGGTTGTAAAGCTTAGCCACAAAAACGCCTGATCATTTTACGTGGATAAATTGGTTGCAGACAGAATTTCTTGCTCCCTTGTTACACATCATTCAGATTTCAGTTACTGAAACGGTTGGGACGGCTGTTTTCACTAACAGATTGTTCAGGAAATTCATGTTTTCTATCTTTGTGTTTCGTATAAGGAATACTGTTCCCAGCCTCAATGATCAGCGCCATCCAGTGTTTCTCTGTGTGCTTGTGACTAGGCGGATTCACAAACTACTTCATCCATATAAGACTTACTGAGACATTTTGATCAACAGCCCAGTATTCTTTGACACTTGACCAGCCATAATCAGAGAATAACAAGAAGAAACATTTAGTAGTATTTTGGCTTTTCTTATCTACTTCCTGCTCTTCAGCTTATCAGAAATAAGAGCTAGGTTGTGTTAATTCAATACCTTACAAATATTTAAAAACCGTGACAGTAGTTTGGGAAAGAATTTGATTCACAAAATTCCATACATGAAGCGCCAAAAATGATATAACTCATGATACGCGGCACTGTATTTCCTAACAACATATGTCTCTCAAGATTGAGTTTGACCATGTCTTGCTGAATATATTTTGTTTAGAAGCTAGTTGGTTTGGTAATATGAGTTTGTAGTAAGTGAAAAAAATTGGCTATGCGGTGAATACATCTAAAATTCTAAGGGTTATAATAGGACATTTTGATTCCTATACCAGTTGAACTTCATTTGTTCCATGGAAGTGTCTATAGAACTTAAACTCTCCTCATGTCACCAAAATCAAGCCTATTGGCATTTTAAGCAAAGCGGTTGTAGTTCAACATGTAGAAAAGCTGTTATTAGTATAATATTTTGCGTAATAGCTCTTGTATTATGTAATGTTCCTAATAAAGCTCTTAAATTTTAGGAGCGTCTTGTGCATGTGGGTCAACCAGTGCTTAAGTGGTAAGCTTGTCATATCTAGAATTCTTCTGTGGTGAAACATCTTTAATGTCAGTTTGCAGGAAATTCGGTCGAAATAATGGTTACTATTGGTTCATCGTTCTTCCCGAATGTAGCAAAAGCCTTATTTCCCGGAATTCACATAGCTCTACAAATGGTGTTGAAATGACTAGAATGCAACAGCACTATGCTCTGTTAAATAAGAAATGCGAAGGTAATATGTTAGTTTACTTTTAACTAACACCATAATACGCGTCCCTATGTGTACTGATTAGACAGTTTGTCATTGATTAATAATTTAGTTACTTGAACTATATCCTGAATAGGCGAACATGTGAAAGGCATATTTACTTGGCAGATTTCCCTATTATATCACTTACTTTACACTGTTCTGGTTTGTTTCATACAGTATTTATTCCTCTAACGTGGTGCGACAATTTATCAGTCATGTAGCATTTCATCTTCTAACTTCGTCTGAACAAAATTTGAGATAGTAGTCTTTTGAGACAACGAAACCTCAATACTATAACTTCGCGTTCTCTAAAAGCTTGATTATTTCAATGGAATGTTGATAATGACTGACATTTTATTACCAAAAGGTTTGTAAGGACAAAGAAAATTCAGCTAAAAATTTCTTCCCGACAAAATCATTTACTTAAGCTAAGCTCCGTATTGTCTTCTCAAGCCGGCCTACCGTTCACGGGTGTGCTAAGGATAGACTTCCGCTTTGGGCCACATCGATGTTCATCTACAAATTTACCTGCTCTTGTGGAGCAGGTTAGATTGTCCCCACAAAGCGACCACTTTCCAAACGTATCCGGCGTAGCTTTTAGAAGGAGAATGCAACTCAGTCACCAGTTCAACACAGGAGCACCCAGTCATTTCTGAATACATCGCTCCAAAGGAGTGTTCCTTCAAAGTAATCTACACAATCAAAGGAACTGGATTGAAGGGAGGATGGATAGAAAACTTATGCACTGCTGAGGCGTTGGTGATCCACAAATCTAAGTCTGAACTCTGCGCACAAAAGCAATACGTCCAACTTCCCTAAGAATTTTTGATATACAAAATGCTTCGTCTGTATAGCTCATGATTTGCATAACCTCACAAGCACTGAATTTAATTTTCGCTATCATGTATTATTTTGAGCACTAAAGATTTGCTTCAAATTTTTTCCATTTAACAGTAATATCATGAGTTGTATTAGTGGATATGAGCTTCAATCTTAAGGTAGCATTATTTGATGGTAATTTTACTCCATACCACTGCTTTAATGAAATTACTATTCAAGAAATATGTAAAATCTATCGTGTCTTGTTTGTCAAGTTATGGCTAACTTTGAAATTATTTTGACTGAACAAGTGAATTATGAAAATTCTTAGGGTTATCAGATCAGAATGTAGCGTCTATTTGTGTAGTCACCAACGGTTAACACTGCTGTGTAGTATGTAGATGTCCTGAAGTTTGTCAAGTTGGTCATGCTAGCATTGTTCCTCAGGGTGATCAGAAGACTGCAAATTGTCATCCTCCTCACTAGATAAGACTATCTCACCTGCATATTCTCAGTTGATGAATAAACTGGGTAGGAGATCAATTCCAAAGAGTTGGGTGGGAGTGTTGGTTCCAAGAGGATATCTATGGTGTAATTGAAGAAAAGTTGGTTCAGTGGGAAACACTGACGAACACCACTTAAGGCTAACAATTCTGAGGACAGTTCGTTATAAGTTCTGACTCGACTAATAGTGTCTGAAAGGAGAGACCTCACAAGTTTTATGTACTTTTTTGATAAGCCCTCAAATAACAAAAAGTGCTACAAAACCTCTCGGTCAACGGATTTGATTGCTGTCTTAAGGTCAAGAAATACAGTCGTCGAGCGCCAATAGGTGTTCATATGTTCCAAAACCTGATAAACTGATCATCTGGTCAGTCCGTTCATCCCCAGGTCTGAAACCAGCCTGGCTTTCCTTTGGTTTGTTCTTCACAAGCCCTAGTAGAGCGTCAGACGGTCGATTTGAATAATATTTTAGGCACTATGTTACTAGAGTTGATTCTTTTGTTTTCATCACAAGTGGATTTTTTCCCTTTCTATAAACTGAAACGATCAGCAATCGAAACTAGTTAAGTGGTATTTCGTTTAGCTCCCAAATCCTAGCTAGTGTCTTCTGTTAGCTTAGTCTATAAAACTAGACCTCCAGACTTAGAGATCTATTGTTAATCCATCAGGGTCTGATGCTCTCCCTTTCTTCAGACTGACTATAGTCCTTTCGTCCTCACTGAGATTTGTAGGAATTGTGTCAATTCCTCCATTCGGGTTTTTTGGAGATAGTTGGAAGGTCATTGAAACTGTCCCACATTTTGTTCTGCATATCCGTCTTATCCCCTTGACCAAGAGTGAATAGATCAAATCAATGTTTTATTGTATGTTTATTGATACTATACTTCTTTTTGTTATAACTTGTGAATCGAATCCGTACTTTCCATCATATCACTTTTCACCTCTTCCGAGACTTCACTCGTTTCATTTAACAATCCTAGAACACATAACCACATTCGATCAAGTTAATCCGCGGGATGTATTTGTAAATAATGAAGTAAAGTTGAGCAAAATTCAAGTGTACGGGTTTGATTATGATTACACATTGGCTCATTATACATCCGCATTGGACGAATTTATTTTCAATGAATCTCGTAACTGGCTTGTTGAACAGATGAAGGTCAGTTAACTATGTCATTATGTAAACTATGAAATGCACTGTTGAAAATAATTCATGAAACATGTTTATATATTTCCTATTTTACTTTTTTTTCAAATCGGCAGCTTCAAATAAGTTTTTGGATTCTTAAGCAAAAGGGGCATACATAAGGAATAGGAAATCTAATTTTTAATTATTGTTTTTTTCAGATGCTACCTTGTATTATGTTACTTAACGTTCAGTGATATCAATCTTTTACGTCTTACTGTGTGTTGTTCACAAACCAATTTTACTTGAAGTTCCTGTAAGTACTGTGATACTAAAAACCATGAACTATTTTTTTTCATATCAGCAAAGGTGAGAAGATACTTCTTTAACTCGGTGTAGTTGCTATATATCCTGGTCACTCACAGCACATAAATGAATAAACAATCTGGCTAGTAATTTTAACTAATTACAGAGGAATAGTATCCATCTCATATAGTGAAAACAGTGTCTGAAATTAACTGTTTTCATCATTCTATAGGTCAGTGGGGGCTGTATTTCATTTCGATTCAGTTTCAAGCCGTTTTATCAATGGAAGAAATTGGGGATAATATGCTTTATGCTCAACTTTTTAAAATCTATGTACTATTATGTCGTTTTGAAGACTTTCAACCAAAAGTTATAGAAAGTGAGAGTAGTTATCAGTTTGACAAGACAACTCAAGTCAAAAGTTCATATTATTTACCTCTTTGTTGATGACTCTAAATCTGACAAACACACTTCTAAGTTAATTAACATATAATTTATCTCTTCAAAGTGTTTTGTACCAATACTTAACTAGTTAGGTTACACAAAATAATGGTAGTAGTCCTCCAGGAGCTTATTTAAAACTGTTCAATCGGATGGTTGCTAGCAGTGGAATCCAGAACATGCGTTTCGTCCCGTAAGTGAGTAGGACTTCCCTCTGCCAGGGAAGTCCTACTCATTGCCTTCTCGTGGCGGGGGTGTTGTTTACGAAAATGAGAGGACGAAAAGCGAATATCCGGCGCTTTAACTTGATTCCAAACCAATGGTGCACATAGGCTCCAGTATCCTGAAGGAACAAATGGCGTATGAACCAATTGTTGGTCACCGGCTTCCACGGGACTGTATCTCCTTACGATGCTCCACTGCCTTGTGGATTAGACCTTCAGGTCGAAGGCTCGGGGGGTAGCCTCCTAAGAAAACCACTTGCTTCGGTTCGGGCACCCGGGCAGTATCACAGCCCTCACACATATCGAATAAGATTTGTGTAGCGCATATGTATTTGCTGCCTCCTTGTACCAATATCTATGTGTTAAAATAAATAATAAAATAATTCATCAATCTGCAAATCATAATCAGAGTCTTTAATGTTTGTATCTTTGTTAATGCTCTAGCAGTAACTAAATGGTACATTGATGTGTGAATCCATGAGTTAGTTTTTCTAGTTTTCAAGCTTTATCGATTCTCTTCAGACATATATTAGATAAGATCTGAGAAAAAACTCGTATTATATGAAGTAAGGATAAGTAAAAAGACAGATGCAAGAGTAATCGGCCAATTAACAACAGATCATATTGTCCTATTCTTCTTGACTTACGATTCCTATTATATATTGCTAATATTTCCTAATTTGCACCACAACTCCGCCTGGAGTCCCTCCGGGGGCTACTGCCGGTCCCAAGCCCGGATAAAGGAGGAGGGTTGGGCATGGGGTTAGCGTCCCCATCCCGTAGAAAACTAACTCGCTAAAAAAACGCTAACCAGAAAAAATTATTCGAATTTTTAAAACTCTGCCCCGGGAGTCAGAAGGTCTTCATTTAGAAGAGTTATGACGCCTCATGGTGAAAGCCGAGTTCCTTCGGAAGTCACGAGGCCGATGCCCCTTCTGATAACCAGCGCAACCATTTATTTAGGTACATGGAATGTTCGTACAATGTGGGACACCGGAAGAGCCTTCCAGATTGCTGCAGAAATGAGAAGATACAACCTAGAGGTACTTGGGATCAGTGAAACACATTGGACACAAGTTGGACAACAACGACTAACTACAGGAGAGCTCCTGTTATACTGCGGCCATGAAGAAGAAAATGCTCCACATACACAAGGAGTTGCATTGATGCTGTCCAAACAAGCGCAAAATGCACTTATAGGATGGGAATCTCATGGATCAAGGATCATCAAAGCCTCGTTTAAAACAAAGAAAGAGGGCATTTCAATGAACATCATCCAATGCTATGCGCCTACCAACGACTACAATGAAGACGCTAAAGACCAATTCTACAATAGGCTGCAGTCAATAGTCGAGAAGTGCCCAACAAAGGACCTGACCATTCTGATGGGAGATTTCAACGCCAAGGTTGGAACGGACAACACTGGATATGAAGACATCATGGGACGACACGGACTGGGAGAAAGAAACGAAAATGGTGAGAGATTTGCAAACCTATGTGCCTTCAATAAGCTGGTCATAGGCGGCACCATATTCCCACATAAACGCATACACAAAACCACATGGACTTCACCGGATCACTCTACACAAAACCAAATCGACCATATTTGCATCAACAAAACGTTCAGGAGGACTATAGAGGACGTGAGAACCAAGAGAGGAGCTGATATAGCATCAGATCATCACTTACTGGTCGCCAAGATGAAATTGAAACTCAAGAAGCACTGGACAACGGGGCAGACAGTATCACAAAAGTTCAATACGGCCTTTCTCCAGGATACTAACAAACTCAACAAATTCAAGATAGTCCTCAGCGATAAGTTCCAGGCCTTTCATGATGTACTCAATGGAGAAGGAACTACTGTGGAGAGCAACTGGAAGGGGATCAAAGAGGCAATCACTTCAACATGTCATGAGGTCCTGGGTCACAAGAAGCACCACCACAAGGAATGGATCACTGTTGGTACACTGGATAAGATTCAAGAAAGGAGGAACAAGAAGGCAGCGATCAATACCAGCCGAACAAGAGCAGAAAAAGCCAAGGCACAAGCTGAATACACGGAAATAAACAAACAAGTGAAGAGGAGCATCAGAACCGACAAACGTAAATATGTGGAAGATTTAGCAACGACGGCGGAAAAGGCTGCCAGAGAAGGAAACATGAGACAATTGTATGACACGACAAAGAAACTCTCTGGAAATCGCCGCAAACCAGAACGACCAGTGAAAAGCGAGGAAGGCAAGATAATCACCAACATTGAAGAGCAACAAAACAGGTGGGTAGAACACTTCAAAGAACTGTTGAATCGACCAGCTCCACTGAACACACCCAACATCGAAGCAGCACCCACGGACCTCCCAATCAATGTTGGCCCACCAACAATTGAAGAAATCAGCATGGCCATCAGACAAATCAAGAGTGGCAAAGCAGCAGGACCGGACAACATCCCAGCAGAGGCACTAAAAGCAGACGTAGCGGCAACTGCACGGATACTCCACATTCTCTTCAATAAGATTTGGGATGAGGAACAAGTACCAACAGACTGGAAAGAAGGACTACTGATCAAAATACCGAAGAATGGCGATCTCAGCAAGTGTGATAACTACAGGGGCATCACTCTTCTCTCAATACAGGGCAAAGTCTTCAACAGGGTATTGTTAAACAGGATGAAGGACTGCGTAGACGCCCAACTTCGTGACCAACAGGCAGGATTCCGTAAGGATAGATCGTGTACAGACCAAATCGCAACTCTACGGATAATTGTGGAACAATCAATTGAATGGAATTCATCACTCTACATCAACTTCATTGACTACGAAAAGGCATTTGATAGCGCGGACAGGACAACACTATGGAAACTTCTTCGACACTACGGCGTGCCTCAGAAGATAGTCAATATCATACAGAACTCATATGATGGATTACACTGCAAAATCGTACATGGAGGACAGTTGACAAAGTCGTTCGAAGTGAAGACCGGTGTTAGGCAAGGTTGCTTACTCTCACTCTTTCTCTTTCTCCTGGTGATCGACTGGATCATGAAAACGTCAACGTCCGAAGGAAAGCGCGGGATACAATGGACATCTAAGATGCAGTTGGATGATCTAGACTTCGCAGACGATCTGGCCCTTCTATCCCAAACGCAACAACAGATGCAGGAGAAGACAAACAGTGTGGCAGCAGCCTCAGCAGCAATAGGTCTCAATATACACAAAGGGAAAAGCAGGATTCTCCGATACAGCACAGAATGCAACAATCCAATCACAATTGACGGAGAAGATTTGGAAGATGTAAAAACCTTTACGTATTTGGGCAGCATCATTGATGAACAGGGTGGATCTGATGCAGATGTGAAGGCGCGGATCGGCAAAGCAAGAGCAGCATATTTACAACTGAGGAACATCTGGAACTCAAAGCAACTGTCAACCAACATCAAGGTCAGGATTTTCAATACAAATGTCAAGACAGTTCTACTGTATGGGGCAGAAACCTGGAGAACTACGAAAGCCATCATCCAGAAAATACAGGTGTTTATTAACAATTGTCTACGCAAAATACTTCAGATCCATTGGCCGGACACTATTAGCAACAGCGCACTGTGGGAGAGAACAAACCAGATCCCAGTGGAGGAAGAAATCAGGAAGAAGCGCTGGAAGTGGATAGGACACACATTGAGGAAAGCACCGAACTGCGTCACAAGATAAGCCCTCACATGGAATCCTGAAGGTCAAAGGAAAAGAGGAAGACCAAAGAACACATTACGCCGGGAAATGGAGATAGACATGAGAAAAATGAACAAGAATTGGATGGAACTAGAAAAGAAGGCCCAGGATAGAGTGGGTTGGAGAATGCTGGTCAGCGGCCTATGCTCCATTGGGAGTAACAGGCGTAAGTAAGTAAGTAAGTAAGTAATATTTCCTAAGTATCCATATATGGCGATACTTCCCATGTCCCACCTATAGACTATTAATGGAATTCATTTCATTCTGTATATATTACCACTAAATTTCTTGAGGCCAAAATCTAGTATAGGGTTTAGGAATTATAAATTCATTTCGTTTAGAAGTGCTGATTAATATGTAACTAAAACGGTCAAGACAATTTAATTGTTCTGTAAATTGGACCAGTGCAAGTGTTCTACTCAATAATTCTCTCTCTACATATATTTTTCAGATATTTTTGTCATTCGAAACCAATGTAATAAAAATGGAGTTCTTACTTTTTTGTTCAAATATTTTTCGGTCCCGTCCATTTTTCAACCCTAAATGGAACGCATAATCCATATAATGCCATATGTAATTAATTATTTTTCAATGTTTCAAGTTCCAAATACATAGTCATTTGTGTGATATGCTCTAATCTTGCCTAACCTAGTTTAGTTAAGCTACTCGTATAGTGCTTCCAACTGTCACGCAATAATTATACTTTATTATATACCACCGTGTTAGTAGGACAAAGGCTTACTCAAGGCATGTGTTAAACAGGATCACGTTGAAGCGCGCTGATTGGCCCACTTTCAACCGATCAGCGCCAATTGATGAACCGAGATGACAAGAATATTATAGTGTAATGTTTGTATATACACTGACATTTTGTTGCTGAACGGGAATTGCCGTTTCGTTTGAAATAAATTTATGTTCTGTCCAAGTCGTGTTTCGATTTGAGAATTAGTCGAGTGGATTGGTGTCCAAGATTACTAGAGCAAATAAGGAGACTCAACACGTAAATAGTTCCACCTGTTTACTTTGTTGTTATACGGTTGAACCGTCTAATATCTTTAATTTTTGATTACCAGTAAATAAACTAAAGCAGAATGTTGTTTTTATGTCAGTCAGCATTATTTTTGAAATTTTCGGAATTTGTTATTTAATTTTGCCAATTCAGATATAAATAATTTCTCATTTTGTAATCGGTCTTCTTTTTTTAAACTATTTTGCACTCATTCAAATTTCCTTCGAATCACAATCTTCAACAAACACAAGTATCCTGAAGAAATTCTGAACTATGATTATACTGAGTTCGCTAGACGTGGTTTACATTTTGATGTAAAACGAGTATGTCACCTCATAACTAATAAAATTAATTTCCCCAAATTATTTAATTTAGGAAAGGTTTATTATAAAATGACAACGACACAAATGATTTGTCTTAGTTAGCAATTAATGATAAATGTTTACTGGTCAATACAAGTAGATCAAATACATTATTATTATTATTATTATTATTATTATTATTATTATTATTATTATTATTTTAATCGCATGTCAATCTTATGCACAGATTGTCACTAGACAATTTTTTGTCTGTATAAAGGATGAGGAGCAATTAAAAGACAGTACTATGACCCTAATTGGCAGAAATGTAACAGTGAAATTTTATGGTTGAACTATTAAATCTTTCAACTGCCATGGTGACTACCAGAACTCATACGATCGATCCTCAAATCCTGAGCAAATGACTTCAGAATGCGATGTCTCTGGGATGCTGATTGAATATTGAGTTGGTGATTTAAAGCTGTCGTTTATTTATAGTATATTCAGTAAAAACCACATGACAATGAAATAATAACCGGAGTCATCAGGTATACGAATTAAGGTCATAAAATAACCAGTGATGTTTCACTTCTGGTTGTTCTGTATGCAAACCAACTGAAATCGATGTCTGTGGGAGAATGTGGTTGCATGATTTAATTATGTTTCATCAATAACTTATCTAAAGTTCTTGCATAGTGTTATGGTTTAGGAAACTATTACGAGATCAGATCAATCAATAATAATGATAATAATAGTTTCGTATAAATGCAATCTCTAACACTTCAGCTTTTAGTGAATAGTATTGAGGTTATTTCCTGGACTTGTTCAATACACAATTATTAAAACGGCATAATACGGAATAAATCATGCACTATCTTTTGCCATCTATGTACTGCTGACTTCACTGCAATAGTATGTTCCGATCGAATCTGTACTATTGAGTAGTCAATGTATCATTGAGTATATAGTGTGATGCAAATGATTAGGTGGAGTTCGCACCTATAATCCAGCTTTGATTACATTGGTTCTATGATGGTCACTCTTTTAAAAAAGAATAACTGTATGGTAAGGTTTTATGTATCGAAAAATTTGTAGGTCTTTTTGCAGATGCTTTTTTAAGCTCATCATATGCAACCATATGTAGGATTTCTTTACAGACAACTTATTGATCTTTTGTTTTCTTACGGTTATTATTTTAATGTCTAGGGCTTATTAATGAAAGTAGATGCATTTCATCATATTCAACTGGATACTGTTTATCGTGGATTTAAACTACTGTCATTGGATGAGATATTAAAAGTTTATCGTGGGAGTCATTTATCTAGTGATATTTTAAAACAAAAATTTACACCTAATGTAAGCTTTTTGTTCATCTATGAAGTATATCATTAAAATTTACTAACTTTATCATAAGTTGTTAAAAGTTTTTTTTAAACTTCCTAGTAGATACTGTCATAGAGACAAAACTTCCTTCAAACAACTTTCTAGAGATTAATATTCTATCAGGAAATCTACCTATTGACTTCGACTATATAAATGACAGTTCTGTTTGTTAATGTCTAATGAAATCCAAAGTTTTCTGATCACTTTGATCAACAATGCAAGTATTTCTTAGGTTTGTTTCTTCCCCCTCTAAAGGCTAAATCTCGCTTTCAGACTGGTATGCATCAATGCCTAAACTGATATTAGGGAGTAAATTCATTTGGGACTGAAGGACTTGACAAACATAATATTGGTCACCACTCAGGGATCAGTTGAATGTGAATATTCCATTCCTGTAGGAGGTCAGTCAATGCCTAAATAACTCAATGGTAACGTCTCACACAGGAGGGATGAATGACACAGGATTAAATCCTCCGGGAAGCACTGCTCCCCTCAAGGTTACAATTATACAGTTATCCTTTTTTTCAACTAACAGTTTTCTGTGTTTCACTTTGGAGCTGTGGAACGCAGTATTTAAAAGTAGAAATCATCTTTAAGTTAGTAGTATTTGACTTTTTACTTAAAATTCGAATTTAAATTAACTCACTAGGTACTTGGGTATAAGCCTCAGACTGTGTGTAAGAGCTAATGGATTTACCCGGTTGCTCAGGCGGAAGTAGGTTGGGCGAGATTCAAAACTGAGACTTGATAACTGAAAGTCGAACACCTTGACCAGTAAGCTATCTCTCCACATTTATTTGATTGTTGTGTTTACAAAGCATTGCTTGAGCAATAATGGCTTCAAAGAAAGATAGAGGCGACCAGACTAAAACGGAACATCAATCCATAGAGAGGTTAACTATTGATTTGAACCATGTTGGTAGACGCAAACTATCTGTTTGAGGTCCACAGCTTTATCGTAACCAGTGATTGTAGTCGTTGGGTGACATGACTCAAAATTAGTTATAGTGGCACAGAATCATTTACGTTTTATCTTTTCTTAGTTCTTAAGTTTAGAAATTATTTTATGCCTTTTATACCCCGAATTGTTTCTTTTTTTACTGACATCGGTACTGCTACCACTACTTTGGTGTTCATCCTGACAATTTGATCTCATCATGCTGATATGGTATTACGATCTGGGTTAATAGACATTTGTTCTGTATTTCAGATCCACTTGAAGACTATCTTGGTCACGTATATATGTTATATATATATATTTCCGAGTAAAGCTGGAGGGAATTCAGAATACCAGACTTATCTATACAGTATCAGAAAGATTTCAATGCAGAACATCATACGAACATTTATCTAAAGCAATTAGAACTAGAATTAGTCATGCTAAGGATAAAACTTGAAACGTGGATCGCGCTGAAGAAACTACAACATGAAAGAAATAATCCTGATCCCTATGACGATAGTTTAATAAAAAAATATGAGCAACCTATGTCGAGTGCAGTCCCATGTCATTTAGAGCTACCTAGGCCAGAAGTACAGTAGTTTGATGGCAATCTACAGAAGTACTGCGCCTTTTTGAAGGAATTCCTAAGTTTTTGAACAAACGACGAAGGATGATTCTAAGCAGCTTAACAATCTAACTCAGTTTTGTACCGGACGAGCTAATTTTATTTTATTTTTATTTGAACACATAAATATTGGAACAAGAGAGCGCCAATATATATGCGCCACACAAAACAATGAAAAATCAAAGAGAAAAAAGGTAGGGAGCGCAAGAAAAAAAGAGAACAATAACGAAGAGATTGGTGTAAGGTAGTGTAGTAGTAATGAGGGAACGGAAAGGTACAATCGGAAGAAATCTTTCAGGTAAGGAAGACACAACCACTTTTTATGAAGAAAGTAGAAGGTTACAGCAGGATAGCCACTAACTTATATTCTGGGCCATATCTGATAACGTCTCTAGCCACTGTGTAGCACCATCTCTCAGACCCCAACCAGGGAGTCGTGAAGGACCAACACAAGCCAGTCCTTTGCAGCTTTCTTTCATGCCACGACACCATGTCATGCACTGACCACCTCTCCGCTTCTTCCAACCAGTCCCATAGTCGGCAAATAATGCACGACGTGGAATTCTCTGGGACGACATTCGGAGAACATGTCCAAGCCACCGAAGTCGGTGTTTCAAGATGGTAACACCAATTGAATTATCATCTCTGTGTCCGAACACACGATGCCGAGCCTCTGCATTACTGATATGGTGTTGCCACTGAATGTCAGCAATCCTTCGGAAACAGCGATGATCGAACACAGAGAGTCGTCTAACGTCCTCAACTCGGAGAGACCAGGTTTCACAAGCATAGAGCAAAACTGCTCTCACCGACGCGTTGTAGATCCGACGTTTTACAGCCAGACTAACATAACGAAGGCGCCAAAGATGGCTCACGTTGGCATAAGCCGCTCTGGCTTTCACTATACGTGCATTGACTTCATCACTCACACCCCCACCAGCACTAATGCAGCCACCCAGATATACGAACTTCTCGACTACGTCTATCTGCTCACCATCCAGGGTGAGTACAGGGTTAGAATCCTGCCAGTCTTGTAGAAGTACTTTGCACTTCGAAGGTGCAAAGCACATACCATACCTACGGCCACTGGTTGCCAACTGATTAAGTGCAGATTGCATGGCTTGGGCATTATCGCACAGTAAGACAATATCGTCCGCATACTCAAGGTCGAGAAGTCTTTCTCCAGGCAACAGATCCACACCACCATTACATACATTCATCAGAGCTGTTTCCAGAATGTCATCGATGACATAGTTGAAGAGGAATGGTGAGATTGGTCAACCCTGCCTAACCCCACTGCTCGAATGGAACAATGGAGAGAGGTGGTTGTATGCCTTCAGTCTGCCCGAGGTGTTTGTGTATAGGGCTTTTATGATGTTAATAAACTTCTCAGGCACACCCTTCTTCAATAGACAATCCCAGAGAACAGTTCTGTCCAACGAATCGAAGGCAGCCCTGATGTCAAGAAACACTACGATTATTGACCTTTGATAAGTATGGCGGTGTTCTAACATTTGGCGGAGGGTGAAAATATGATCAATACATCCTCGACCGGAACGAAAACCGGCTTGCTCCCCGCGGGTCAATCTTTCTCGGGTTTTGAACAACCTACGAAGTATGATGAAAGCCAATAGCTTGGACGCAATCGGAAGTAGACTTATCCCCCGATAGTTGTTACAGGAACGACGTGAACCACTTTTAAAGATAGGGACAACTATCGACCCATTCCATGACGTTGGTACACTCTCTAGTTCCCAAACCTCTGTAAACAACGTCGTCAGTTCCTTAGTCAGAAAGTCACCACCATCTTCAAAAAGAGCCGGAGGTAAGTCATCTGGGCCAGGTGATTTGTAACGCTTCAAGAGTTGGAGTTCCTTGCGAACTTCCGCCTCATTTGGTGGACCAGTCATCACTGGCCATGGAGGGCAGCAGACCAGTTGAACTGCCCTTCGAAAAATTCTGCCCACCGTCCAAGACGTCGATGGATGTTAGTGATTGGCATCCCATCATCCTCGCAGATTGTCTCGCTCACACCAGACTTCTTGCTGCCAGTGGCTCGGATGAGTTGGAAGAGCTTCCGGTAATTACCAGATGCAGCTGCTGCTTCCAGCTCATTAGCACGCTTCGACCACCAGGCTTCTCGGTCCTTACGCAAACTTTGCCCAATTTCCTTACGTAACAGCCTTCGTTTATGGTCAAACTCACGGTCACGCGGAGTAGACCGACGGGCTTCAATGAGTTGTAAGGAACCTGCAGAAACCCAGTGCTTATAAGCGGGACGTTTCGCGAACCCACAACTGACTGTACCCGCCATTTCCATGGCGTCATGCAATTGCAACCAATGCTCATCTATACTTTTCGGTAGAACGGTAGCTAGCCTAGAAACTAGCTCGGTTCGATACTTACTTGGAACAGGAGTTGCAACCAGCTTGCTAACATTAATCCGTTGGTGGCGGTCACTTCGTTGTCCACTGAAAAGTAAGGTAAGATGACGAAAAGACATCGTTTCTCACGCCGATTTCTTCTCACTTTGATGGAACTTTCTAATCTAACAGCACATAACCGACTGTTAATGGGGATCCAATCGATTAGTGCTGCCTCAGATCTAGCGCTTGGTGAGGCACCAACGCCAGCAAAACCAGACGAAGATGCCACAGGGTTCTCGGATAAGCGCACGTAAAACAAGCTTTTCGAAGCGACAGATGGAGAGCGAATTTGTAGTACCTCACCAGAGTCTTGAATACGGGTCTCGGATAGACAGCAGACATCGATATTAAGACTTTCCAAAGACATAGCCAGCCCTATCTGTTGTCCGACCTGCGTAAATGTGCGAACGTTGAAGGCAGCCAGTTTGAATGGTGCACGTGGTTTCAGAAAAACTGCTTCACTACTCATATTCAGTGGTAACATACAATTTTCAACCGGACAGTGACTCGAAAACGTTTAGATACAGTCGAATTTCCACCAAAGACGAACCGCTGTATAAGTATAAAAGAGGGTGAATAATGTGGTAAATAACAATAATAATAATAATCATTTGATTGTTAGTTGAAGCAAGTAAATTAGTTTCCATAATTATAGGTAGTTCATCATATTTGTGTGTGGGCTGTGATACTGCCCGGGTGCCCAGACCGAAGTAGGTGGTTATCTTAGGGGACCACACCCCGAGCCTTTGACCTAAAGGTCTAACCCACAAGGCAGTGGAGCATCGTAAGGAGATGCAGTCCCATGGTAGCCGGTGACGGACAGTTGGTTCATACGCCACTTGTTCCCGCAGGATACTGGAGCCCATGCGCACCATTGGTTTGGGATCCGGTTAAAGCGCCGGATATTCGTTTTTCGTCCTCTCATTTTCGTAAACAACACCCCCGCCACGAGAAGGCAATGAGTAGAACTTCCCTGGCAGAGGCTGTATACGCGTGGCCGTGCGAGAGTATTTCGAGAGGGAGAGCGGACTCTCCCCACTCTCGGCCGTACCAGGGCATTCGGGGGCTAAAAAGGCTATCGAGCATTGTTTCATAATGGACGGATCTAAATGATTTACGTGAGCTAGAGATATTGTAAGAAAACGGTTCGGACAAAATTATATGGTTAGTAGGTCCTTCATAGACGAAATAGTAGGCTAACCACCAATTAAAAGTCATGATTTTATGGATCTGTCCGATCTAGGACAGAAAAGAGTTATGGCGTTCAGAACTTCAGTTTCACTTCTACCTTCGAATCTTAGATCTAAGTGGGTAAAGATGAAAGTAGAGTATATGTGACAAGGTGGAGAGCTTAAATCTGTAAATTTAGCTAAGTTCGTGATAGAACGAGCAGATGTAGCAAATCGGATAAACGAGTTAAATGAACTTTAATTCAAACATTATTCAACACTAAGAATAGTATTTTTTCTTTGTGGTATTCTCCCCTTAACAATAAGCAACGGAATAAGAGTCTAGTCTGTACCACCTGTAATGAAATCCATTCCTCTTACCAGTGTTGCACACTGGAAAATTGAACATAATCAGAGACAAAAGTCATAACGCTTATGTCTAAATGTCAAGCATATGTCTAGAAGTTATCAAATCCAAAGAGGAAGTACTATCGAAGTATGTGACAGGTGACATCGTACATTGTTATGTGTAACTAGTGATGTTTCTCAACCTGTTGCACATATTAGTATTAATCACGTTTCAGGATATCGACTTATGACTAAAGTGACAGTAGCATCAGAAGAGCCAAGAGCAGCTGTGGCAATAGTTCCGGTGATTCTTTGTTACGGTAATCGAACAAAAGAAACTCTAGCTTTCTTCAACAGCGGTTCAAACTCAACTCTCGTCTTGCGAGAATTAGTGAACGAATTTGAGCTAGAGGTCAAAGGTGTCCACATTCGATTGGCTACCATCAATCACTATAGTGGGTGACGGGCCGTAACCTGATTAGATTTGCGATCATGCGAATCAGACTATTGTATGCAGGTTGAACGGGCTTACGCAGTGCCAGTTTTGTCTAATGCAAGACGTGTAGAACCTTATGTCAAACAACTACAGTCCTTATGTCATTTGAAAGATGTAGAGCTGAAGAAATGTAAGACTGAACGTGTTGGATTGCTGATAGGATGTGGTGTACTAGGGGTTTATAGAATTTCACAACAAAAGTCAGGCAAACTAGGTGAACCTCATGTGATAAGAACTATATTCTTTTGGACGTTATCGGAGCCATTCGGTGTTCAGGCGAGAAATCAAATAAAGTTAAATTGACTTCACCCCTCGGAGCTTGAGAAGACCGTTGAGATGTCTTATCAAAACGTGCTGGATGAACGTCGAACCAACAGAAATGATATGTCAGTGGAAGAAAAGTTGGCTCTGAAAACCATGGAAGGGTCTGTTGTCTCGAAAATCTTTCAAACGTTTCCATTCATATTCAACGGAGTCGAAGAAAAACCCTTCTTCGAGATAGCAAAATAAGGTCTATACGGCAGCGCAATTATCATCGTTTGTCTTTATCATCCCGTTATTCGTATAGCCCATCTTCATCCATTTCATCAGGTTCCTTATCAAAAGTAGACGATCCTCGATCCATAAATAATGGTTCTCAAACCGACTGTTGTTCTCATCCATCAAGTCATTTGTTCTTTGGTTATGACTGACTGACTTGGAATAAAAGTCTCTGCTTGATTTACTTTTGATAGTGGGGGACAATAAAATTCAGAACTTAAGTTGACGCTTATCTTTTAGTCCGAAACAATCAGTCGTATGGCCCAAAACTATTTAGTTTAGTGTTTTATTCTCTAGTGTCTCCGTGGGTGTTAATTACTCTATGTACTCGTCACTACCTTCAGAAATAAAAAAATCCCCACAAAGGTAAGTTATTTATCGTTGCAGTTCGTTGTACTCAATATGTGATAAACAATTTTGGTGTTCAGTACATAGATTTTAGTCTTCTTGACTATAAATAATAAGTTCTATGGGTCGCGTCAAAAGGATTATCTCACATCTGTTGGATATAGATTTCATGATGGTGATCATAAAACTCATGGCCTTCCCGGACCCACTCACAAAAACTACAAACTACATGTCCTATGATTTACTTTTCAAGAACTCTTGGTCACTAAATAAATGTGTAACTACCACTTAGGTTTTTGTTGTACATTTTAGGACACCATTATGATTCAGTTGATGGATCTTTTCCGATTACCGGAAATTAATCTTCTATGTTCTATTATAGATGTAAGTTGTATTATTAGAATCTATTTTTTAGCGCTTACAAATTTTTAAAATTATCATTGTTTTACTTAAAAATACTGTCACTCCATTTATATTTTTTGTTCCAATTACTATTTTGTATCTGGATCAGTTGGCCGATAAGTTTGTTTATGTTATATAAAGAAGTCGTTTAGAGAAGTTTATTGGTTTTAAAATACCTTTCAAAATAAGCTGATACCGGTGAAAAAATTACTAGTTTTCTGTTTCAGTTTAGTCTGAGCTAGTTATTTACGATGAAACAGTCAAGGAAAAGCTTCAATGTTTGGGAACTACAAAGTGTTTCTTGATATTATCAGGTCGATGTTACCAAACTTTTTACTAGAAACCAAATTAAAGGTGGTGATAATACCATTAGTACAAAGACCTAAAATAGTGCAGTCAGTTAAAAACAGGGAACAATAAGCACACATACCAAACAGTAATAGGAACGCAACGAAATTACTCAATGAGGAAACTAGTCATATTTGTAAAAAAAGGTACAATTTCATGACCTATAGTTAAACAGAGAATAACCAGTTCAAGGTCAAAACTGTGTATTAGTGGTATGTTTTTAACATAAATTTTTATTCATTGATTTATTCTTACCAGTCAAGATTCATACTTATTTACTAATCTCCTTATTAATAAAGATTTGGGTATTATTTATTAGAATCTAACACTGATTTAAAGTTGTACTGCCCGTTAGCTTTCTCTGAGATTATAAAAACCTTGAGATTACAGGGAAACAGAAGGTGTAGCTGTGAGACTCTCAGTTTCCCTAGTTGTCACTGACTTGATCATGGACTCGTCGGAAACAAATGTAATTTCAAAATGTTCTTTTTCACCTAAAATCTGGTTAAGTTACTTTGAAAATACATTTTTTATTACAAAACGAGATGGATTAGATAAACTTTTTGATCATGTTAACAATATGTCAGATGGAATCAAGTTCACTAGATATGGAATCTGATGACCACAAACTAGGATTTATTGACTGCTCATTCGAAAGAGAACGCAATAGTTATTTGCAAATTGATTTATCCCAAAAACCCGGATTCCGAAAAATACTCAACAGACAGGTCACCAAATCACTATCAGTGACGGTAACAGTTGCAAAGATTGTGATTAGCAGATTTCAACAACTCATAGCAGAATTGAAGCATTAAACGACCTAGTTAGATTTAATTGTAACTACAACGATAATAAATGATAATCTCAAGGACTTTATAAATAAAATAATTGAGAATAGGAACGAAAAATTGCATATGAAGGTCTGACTGAATGAGTGATTACTTCAGTGTATCCGTGATACCGTAAAGAATCTTTAGCGAATATCTGAAAGATCCCATACCACCAAAACGTATGAATATTTTTGCCTTTCAAACTGTGCTGTACGTTTTAAGTTAGCAAAAGTCAAACATTAGTGTGGTACTAAAAAATGTTAAACTGTGAGATCCTGCGATTTTTCTATTAATATACAAGCTTCCAAACCAGCTACTTGAATGAAAAGGGAGCTTGAACGACTAAAACCTAATTCCATATAAACCTTAGATAACTCGAAAACGTTTAGTAGACACCACTAGATTTGGCGGAATCTGATCACTTGATCGACTTGGATAGAACAAAAATCATTCGGGTAGATTTTTTTTCCATTTGCAAAATATAGTCAAATCTTATCAGTTTTATAAAGTACATATTAGTCATTCCAACAGTAACTGAATAGACAGAACTACTTGGAAATTAAAAATAATTAACCTAATAAAAACAGTACTTCTGACAAGAGCCCATCAACTCGAATGATTTATGACAACTTAGAATGAACTTAGAATCAATTCTAACAGGAAATAGATAAAATAAAAACAGGAATAAAAAATCGGTTCACTGAACAAAATCTGACTAGAAAGTTAAAGTTTGAGTAAAATCGAAATCTTATCTAGTTTTAAACTAATCACTTTTATGTTTCCGGCACCAATTACAAGACTCAGTAGTTAATACAATCTTGAATTCACTTTTATCATTAGGGAATTTTGTTCAAAATAGACACAGGATTATTCGTTTTTCAGCATTTCAAATATTATTTTAATACAATCAGCATTGATCAAAGGCCTAATGTATTTATTCTGCTAGATTACTAAGTTTAACTAAAATTCTGATCTGTTAAGTAAATTTTTTATGTTTACTAAAATGTTATAATAAACTGTCTAAACAAAAATCTTTCAGTTGTTGTTGTCATGGAAGCTTGATGAAAACACACATCTCATAATTATAATTATTCAACAAAATTTTCGTTGACATTTTTGTTTTACATTTTCTTAAGGATAATTTTCTCCACTAATTGATATAAGCTAAATTAGTATTGATAGTCGAGTGAATTAAGACTTGTACAATGGACACTTATTTAATTAAATAATATGTTGATATCTTAATTGAGACAAGAACTTTGAGTTACTCGAAACCTAAAAACGAGGACGTTTTTCATTATCTATACGAATATTCGTTAATATTAGAACGAATAGTTTGAAGAAAATTGCGCGCCAATTATGAAGAAGTCATTATGTGTGGAAATTATATTTGAAATAATCTCAGCGATTAAAATTTAAATAATTTCATTGTTTCGTCCAGTAAACTTGTCTGGACTTCTTCAACTTGCACTTTTATTTTTCCTTTATATAAAAGCAAATTTAACACATGATATCAATCATTAATAACTCACTCTTACAAATACACGCACAATTCATTCATTTTCACATTGTGAACTTTTTACATGATTCTCATTTAACCAACTCATGTTATCCTATTTACCAAAGTTAACATCCAAATATGATTAGATTAGCACAATAAAGATTTGATTTGATTGTTAAACACTATACATTTATTTGATAATTTTGATTTTGATTATTACCCTGAAGAAGTTCAGACCAGTTTGCTGGACGAAATGTTGGAAATATTTAAATTTCAATCGCTGAGATTATTATTTCAAGTATAATTTTCATGTATAATGTTTTTCATTATCCTTTGATTTTCAATTATTACTATTTATTTACTGCTACAATAACTTTTTTGACAATACTTTGCTTTCAATCAACCAAATAATTTTTTTTCTCATTTACAGTTTTTTGATCGACATGGAATAGATTATAAGCCTGTTTATGTTTATCAGGATGTTTCTGTAAGTGTTCTTCAATTATCTAGTAGCATGCAGAAGTTTCATTGTATTGTTATTATTATCACTTATAATCGTCACGAAAGCACTATAAAATTATATAAGCCTCATTTTCCAATTAATATTTGCAGACACTATATGATAAACATACCGGTCAGCGAAAAAATATACCGAATATTAGGTCAGTATTTCTTGGTTTTATTGTAAAGTATGCGTTGAACATGTGATATATGGAATAAAAATCATAGTACCCACTTATAAATTAATTCAGTGACTGACTGTAGGTCTTTAACAGAGTATTCCTAACATGTTATTGATTTACGTTTATATACGAATATAGCATTTTCCGGTTATACTGTCATATTTTATATTCATTGTTAATTTGATCCTGTTTTAAAACTCATTATTATGGAATGTTCACCATCACTTCGTCTGTGCATAGTAATTAAGTACTAAGATTTTTCAGACGTACATCCTTCTCAATAAATAGTCTAAATTCTTTATTATCGTACGTATGTCGAATCGCTACTCCTATATATCATGCTCCGTAGATATTCAACTCCCAAGTGATGTGTACATTAATCATTATAACAACACATATAAGCGAACAATTGTTTTCAATTAGATCGTCATCACGCTGTACTCTAATATACATGAATATTTATACGAAAGTGCTAAACCAATCAAAGCAATTTGGGTCAATAATCACAATGAAATAGAACAGGTCACCACACATAATAAGTAAAAATACATGTTGATAGTAGGAAGACAGATGTACTGATAGTAGTAAAAATAATAAAATACGATAACAGTAGTCTTATCAATAGTTCGTGGATTGTTTGAGGTTAGACATTAACACCATTGGATGCCGGCTCAGTGGTTCAGTAGGTTAAGCGTTCGCACGCAAGACTGAAGGCCCTGGGTTCGAATCTCACGAGCGGGATCGTGGATGAGCAATTCTGAGGAGTCCCACAACAGAACGAGACGGCCGTCCAGTGCTTCCAGGTTTTCAATGGTGTTCTAACATCAGTCGGTTCATGATCTCAATCAAAAACAATAGTTAAACGTTGGAAATAGAAGGTCAAACGTGGGTAAATAGACTTGGAATAGTCATCACAAAACATTAAAATCATTACGTAATAAGAAGTGGGCACTGCGGTCACGCTCTCAGGTCACTAAGATCACCTCTAATCCTATTTACTTTTCAGGTACGTCAAGAAGAACCCCTCCACGATGCGGGCAACCGAGAAGTGATAACCGCCCTCATACCTCTAACAGCACTCAAGACCGACTGAAATAATTAGATTGTGAAGAATACAAACGGAAGGAGGCGGAAAATTACAAGCAAATAAGGGATGTGAAAATAAGGTTAATGATGTCAAAAACAGAATTAAATAAATAATAAAAATTAACAAAAAAATCGTTAGTTAAGTTATAACTGGCCATGGAAGGGGTAGGGGGGTTACGAATTTCTTCGGTACATATAAATTGGGATTGTATGCACGAATTCCTATGGCTTCAGCTATATGTGGGAGGCGGGAACGAACTTCGTTGGGAAATGATGGAGGTATACGATAGATCACTCGAAATGATTTCGATTTATCTACAGCATGACCTCTATCAATAAGATATGCCAAGATAGAACTGCGAATGTTTTTATCCGGCCCTTTATAAACCAAGCTGGTAGATGTTCACTCATTCGTTGGTTAAGTTGCCTGGTAGTACGCCCGATATGGCTATCTCCACACGAGCAACTGAATTTGCAAATGCACATTGAGGTGGCCAACTCAGGTAATTTATCCTTCGTTTGGGTAGACATCGCTGGTCGACGAGAGAAAGTCAATCGTACATATAACCCCAATTTATGTGTACCGAAGAAATTCGTAACCCCCCTATCCCTTCCATGGCCAGTTGTAACTTAACTAACGATTTTTTTGTTAATTTTTATCATTATTTATTTATTTTATTCTATGTTTGTCATCATTAACCTTATTTTCACATCAATTATTTGTTTGTAATTCATAGGCGACATGTTTGTAAATTTGTCTATGTATGTATGCATTGTAAGGATGAAAACTGTGTGACCTTTATGGCGAGAAAGCATAAAGTTTTATTTGTAAGATAATAATGTGAATTGTGAATAATATCAGACTAGGTGGCTAGGATAGATAGTCCAAGTAGAACAAATGATAAGGCCTTCTTTTCTATTGAGAACAGTAGGATTAAGCATTATATGGAACGCTTCAGCTACTCTCCTTTCTTTGTAATTGGAAAAGCCTTTTTGCAATATTTTGATATTTTTGAAATTAATTTCATGGTCTTTGAAAATCTCATGAACTGCTATTACCGATTTAATTTGAAGTTTATCCAGTTCTACGGGATTATTGAGAGGTTACTTTGTGTACCTAATATGTTCTTTGGCTCTAGTCAAGATTTCGCAAGATGACTCTCCAATATAGAAGGCATCACAATCGATACAACCTAATTTGTAGATGCAGTTCTGTGTTGACATGAATAGAATTTTTTCTTGATTCGGTTATTTATTCTCTGAAGAAGTGGCTTACACTAAGTCACGAAACATCAGGAAATCTAACTATTCTATTCATTGGGATATTACAAATATATTATTTATATATAACAATCTACCCAATGCTCAATTTATTCAAAATTATCAAGTCAAACCTTGGTAATGATACCTATATATCTATTTATTTATTTAAAGTCAACATGATAATACTAACAATTCTCATCCCATGTACACTTATCTTTTAGACAGCTGTAGCAAGAGTCCATAAATCTGGCCTTCTAGGTCAAACCGTAATGTCTGATCCAGGTAACTTAATACAGTCTATCTCTAGATAGCATGTGTGTCTTATTTTTTGTTCGATAAATTATCAATACTAGTTTTAATCCCACTTCGTTGTTTTGAGAGGTTTGATCGATCACTATCCACTTTGGTTTTCAGCAGTACCTGAACACTGAGGGAGTTGTGTTTTTTACTTACTTATATAGTTTATATCTGTACATTGTTGATGGGTTACCTTTGAGATAGAATATAAAAGCTTTGTTTTTATGGCAATTTAATTTTTAAAAGTCTTTAGGTTCAGATGGTACTTGATGAATTCTAACATGTTTTTCAATATCATTAACAACAATAAGTGTTGACGTCAAACTGTGAAAAGTAACGTACTAATGAGAAGCTTCAGAATGGATAGGGACGTTCATTGTATCATAACTTTCATTGATTATTCCATTAATTGGTTAAAGATCTCCATCATATTAAAAGACTAATATTTGAATAATGCCTACTTTTAAGAAAACTAAGTTTTAATTTAACATGTGTATCCAACCTATTGAGAATATGATTCATTTTAACTTTACAGAAAGGTATATTGCGAAGGCACCAGAACTATCTACGTTTTTATATCGCTTAGTAAAAAATAATAAGAAATTATTTGTTATTTCAAACAGTTCAGCTGCTTACATGTAAGTCTACATCGTTTAAAACCAATCGAAGAAAATTATTTAAAAATATCTGTATAAACAGTCATTCTTTCATTGATCAACATTACTATCTTCAGCTTTCAAAACGTACTAACTAATTAATATGTATTGAATTTATTAACGCATACTTACAAGGTTAACTAATCGTATGGTAAGAAGTGAACCTAGTGAAACGCTATGAGAATGCGAAGACGCATAGTAAGGTAAGAAGCCTGTGAAAGTAATACATTATAAACAAGTTTATCAGTAGAGAATAGCTTAACAACAATTCACTTTTATTTGAAGTGGGCGCTAAGAATTCCGTTTAAAATGTCAGTAAATCCTTGGGGAATTTATTATTTAATTCAGTGTAAACAACATCACTAAAAGTCTCCTATTACTAAATATTTTATACTAACCATTATCTATAGCTCTAACCTCAGTTTTCGTTTTGTAACTAGTGAACATCGATGATTTCTTATCGAATATTTCTGTAAGCGTCTCAAACAGTTGTTTCTTTCCATGGGGAATACAACTTGATTACATTTTTCGCAGAGAAATCACTTTTCTGAAGACATAATATACCAGTAATCACTTTATTGTATATTAAAAAAATATTCTTTAATAAGACTATTGAATATCTCGATATCATTACTAACAACACAATTAATTCGAAACGTTATCACTGAACGAGTAATAATTTTACTAGCATTGAACAACGTGTTTCCTGTTTCTTAAAAGAGGGAATTTCATACAAACAGTATGTTTAACTAATAATATAAATAATTATCTTATCCACATGATTATATTCACTTGGCTTTTTGTTAATTTGATTCTCATTGGTACATTACTTTCGTTCATTCACCAAAGATCACACGACGACTGTAGCTTATAGATTAAGTTTGATCCGTTAAATTGTAGACCCTGATGGGAGCATATTCAGTAAACGAACACCTCGCCATGTTCCTATCCCGTTTCATCCGCTTCAGTTCAAGCAGTCGGATAATAAAACAAACTCCCACACTGAATATCTGGCCCATAGCGGTGTACACCAACCTGTTTTTATAATCAAAATACTTTATTCTTATTATTATGTTTATACTGTATTAGAATGTTAATTTATGGTTGTTTGTTTCCTAAACTATCTACGTTTATTTGTTTTATTCACTCACTAATTTATTCTACTTTCATAATTCATAACTAAAGAGATAGGGGTTTGAAATTTTTGGTTGGAAACGACTGGCAAGAATTATTTGACGTGATCATTTCTAGAGCCAATAAGCCATCGTTCTTTAAATCATCACTCGGGTTAGTCTCACATTTTCTTCTATTTATATGTATCTAATTGTATTGTTTATATGACTTCGTTGCTGTATGTTTCATCCGATTCGGTTTCTAATAAGTAATTTTACCCCATCACCAAAAACTTCACGGTTTTCTCATCGTTAGTGTATACCTTACTCTTGTAATACTTACTAGTCCTTAAAATAAAGCCAGGGACTTATTAACCAAATGTATTTATCTTCTTAGAATATCAATGTAAGGAAGTTTCAAAAGTACTGTGTTATGTGATGGGATCGCTCGAAATGTGCTAAATATTTTTCAAATCAACTCCCTTCACTCATTATACTTTCGAGGTTTCTAAAGTTGCGGCAGTTACTCTTAATATAGTTTTGTTGTTTTTAGTGAAGACCTCCTAGCTGTAATTTCAAATTTACGTAGAGTTCGTTTTTTGTTATCATACGAAGTAAAAAGTTAGATGTTTCAATATAGCGTGGATTTATTTATCATTGTCACTCCTAATGATTTGTTCGTGTGCCTTATTTACTGTCACCTCAAATTTTATGTCAAGTATACATCATGCAGTCATGTACTTATCCGTATAACTTTTGCAAAGCTGATGTTCTCTCAAAATCCTCTAATTTTGAAAATTTTATTTCTAGTTAGTTGTCGCTATTTGAGTAAACGAAATTATACTCTTTTTACTATTTAAGTAGTTAAATTTGCTATGAAAAATTGTTTTGACTATTCTATATTTCCTGAATATCATGTAAATAAATTTTGTTGAATCAACACAAATTGCCTTCTCTGATAATCAGTTCCTCTGTATTGAAACCCATAAATTCAATTTAGTGTGAATAAATTGTTAATAGGCTGATCACTATCAGGATTCACAAATGACAACCTGTCTTGTATGAACAATCGGGACTCTCATTTAGGTTCGTTATATTAAACTAGTGTGTCTTTCAATTAATTAACGATAAAACTCATGTATTTTACGGTTAAATATATGTTAATACATTTGATTTATTGATTAACGACGAGAGAATTGATAATAACTATATCATGGAATCTACTAATATGTTGACCGTATTGAAAGTTGGATAAAGTAACCACAGATTAGAAATACCACCCCTGTAGATTCAGTGGGAAATATCTGATTGGCACCACTTTAAAATATATATATATTTTTCCCTCGATGAAACAAGTGACAAAGCTGGGAAATGCGGATGCCCTACGAGATCACTCAATGTAATCTTTTAGATAGAAGGATAAGTGGTCATTATTAGTGTTTTCGTTCGACAAATGCAATTTACCACACTCTTAATCATATTCCTCTGACAAATCGACTTATCCAGATGTTAGGGGGCTCCTATTAGCAACTGAGCCGGACCACGGGTGAGAACATTTTCTTGCAATAAAAATTTGCGATCGAGCTCTTTAGTGTTAATCTTAACATAAGAACTTATAATTATTCTTGAAGTTGCATAACTCAAGACTATTTGAGATTATGGTAAAGAACCGCCTACTCCATTTCTCTTAAACTCCTAATCCGGTCAAATGAAATTATCAGCCAAATTCACGATCAACAATCTTGTGAAGTTTTGTTTTGATCTCAATACAATACATTTGAATCCTAGTTTAGAAGGTCTGATGACCGATTGTCTGTGAAATTTCCGAAATGAGATAAGGGTTGATCAATGATTATTCTCTTTCAGCGATTAAATACAATAGAACATGAAGATATTTACAGTTCTTTATCACTATTTCTAAAAGTTTTAAGCGAACTGTAAAACAAAAGACTAAAGGACAAGGTTATGATGTAAATCTGTGCATTTATTTGGAAAAAATATCTGTCTGTTGTATAGAATAAAAAAAACAGAACAATAAGACTTATCTAGTAATAGTAACAATACTTACAATTCAAGCTCATTATAATTCACTTGTTTTTGTATCTGGCTTAGCATATAGTTTAGACACAAGTAGTATGTAATTTCAAGCATTTATTTTTCTCAATCAATTAATTAATTGAACAATTCAAGTCAAAAATATCAGTGAAACGTTTCACATTCTAGCTTCAATACTTTCTTAATAAAGCTTGTTTTCTTTACATTATTGTTTTTATACAAACTGAAATTATCTGGTCGTGATTAATATAGATAAAACAAGACGAACGTGATTTACTGAATAACATGAATTCATTATATTTCAAGGTTTCTCATTAACTGAGACCGATGTAAATATGCCTTAATGATATTATTATGCAACATTTTATATGTTCTTTCTAAATGTTCAAATTAAAATTGTAGTCATTCCGACTAAGAGTATATCTGTACTTATGAATGAACCAATTATTAGGGATTAGTAATGTGTAATATGATATTGTCTTTCGTCTGAGAATATATATATATATATAAACCATATATAAATATCTATAATTGAGAACATACACTGGTTTAATTTGGAAGGTGAATTCCCTTTGTAATCATTCCGCTCATCATCTAACTTTAAACCTTATCTTTCCTGTGAAGTGAGGCCTAGTTATTTGTCATAGCATTCCTCATATTAATGTCCATCATTTTCGGGAAACATATTCTATTGGTTGATTCATAAACACATATCCCTGAGCTTTTTCATTTCATGATTCCGCATCCTATAAATATTAGGTCATATCTCCTATCCCATGAATTTTAAGTTATTTTCAAAAATTTGTAGGCAATTTCGACGTACTGATATCAGTGGGACTTTCAAACATTGGGAAGCAGTTCAAACATTTAAACGAGGTCAAATATATGAAGGAGTATGTCTTCAATTACTTGTGATATATTTTCACCATAATGACAATAATAATAATATTCTGAATATTCATTTCCCAATATATGATATCAGCAAATGTTTCTCGATACAAAATATGTTAAGTGATTATAAAGATGTTATGGTAACACGTAAGTACATTCAGCCAATAGAAGTAATTATTTATTTAAAGTGAGAAGTTTTATAGCAATATGTTCAAGCTTAGAAAAATAGCAGTCGAAAATTTTGAACAGACCCTGATGTGTCCTTGTCAAATAATAATCAATGTTGACCAAATTTGTCGGTTTATACTGAACAGAGCACAATATTTGAATCGAATGCGAAGCAAACTTTTATTTGTGTTATCTTAACTTCCTTAATTTTACCATACTTTGATTTTACAATATGACACTGTCATGAATCTTACAAAAATGGTCACAGTTGTACTTTTACATTACTAATTGTTCATCATCGTTCAAATGATTAACATTGGCCAATATTTAGGTATCTATAATGGTTTTCATGTGATTTTGTTATATTTATTTTGTGTCAAATAAATTTTGTAAGATACACACCTAAGGCTATTCAACGTTCAATAAACCCAACGCTACAGATGTAACTAAGGCTCCTCTCGATTATGATATTGTTTGCGTTTCAATTAGTTAAGAAATTCACATCAGGTTTGTAAAGAGAGATTTCATTAGATCCCTTTTCGGAATTGTTTTATAGCTGTACACTCCTGTTGACCTTGGATCCCTTGTTATTAATAACGTATCAAGAAACCTATGTAAAAGCCAACTATAATAATATTTCGAGGAACGACGTTTAACTGGCTGCTTCGTGCCTACTGTTGACACCAATATGATTGAGCGATATTGATGCCAATGAAATATATAGCCTGCTTAACTATGTATAACTCTGTCCACCAATCATGTTAATAAAACCTAGAAATAAAAGGTCGAATACGAGTTGCATTTGGGACATATTTCAGACACTCGTGTAAGTAGACAAACTAAATGAGTGAATAAGGAAATTGAATAGAGGCTCGCGGGAGAAACTGAAAAAGTCTACTCAGTGAAAAAAGGGTGAATTAGTATTTAATAAGGTGAATAATATATCAATTATAGATTTAGAAAATGAGTGTATTAATATGACGGGAAGAAAAGTCAAATTTAGATTGATTTACTCATTATGATTTTCGTTCAACGTTACTTCCTTTTTAATTCAATGTGATCATTACCCAATGTACGATAATCATGTGTTCAATTGACATGAACTATGCACAGCATGACATGCAGCATGTGATTTGTTATAACTGTATTTTTCATATATATGTGATTTCATCCTAATTATTAATCAAAGCGGGTGTACAATCAATAGATAAATGAGTGTATTTTCAACTGGAGTCATCGTCGTGTTTTGGGGTTAATAAATTTTCACTTGTACCAGTCTTTGTGTTCTTACTTTCTCGTCGTGGGGATTGCAGTGGTTCCTCGTTTTCGAATATAAAAGATAAGCGATTCCCATATAATAATCAGCGACAACCCGATATGACAAAATAGCGTGCAATCGAGAAGACTTATCAAGTATAGATGACAGACACGCAAGGCCAGCACAATCGAAATACATTTAAATTAAACGGTAAATAATGAACAAGGGGACATTTAATAAAAAAGATAAGGAGGAATTTAAGCAAATTGATCAAGACATCACTGCATATAATCTAGTCGATAAGGTTTTAATTAAACATGGAAATGTAAAAGAGTCATAAGACAGTTTATATCAGTCTCCTTTTAACTCATGATAAGATTGTGAATATATGATTAACAGTTTATGATTTGAGTAATTTAGAATCACCTCATCTTCTATTTCCTTCTTCCATAGATCATGAACTGAAATTTATAGATGAAGGTTTATAAACAATGTAAAACGTGTTTGTTTTTCATGCTTAAAATAAAAAATGTGATAATTGTTTAATAGGTTGTTTACTTTTAGCTAATAAGAAACGACCGATTGTCTTGAAATGATATAACGAATGGTTTAAAATATTTTTCTCTCTCATTTATTCTACTATCGTACGTTAATACAATAGTGAGACTAATCACGTTATATCAAGTCCAGGATTCACAATCCACAGTAGAGAACCAGATTAACACCAGATGGTACATTATTCAACACAATTACAAACAGTCACTCTCAATAAATCTGGAGTAGAAATGAATGGGGAGAGGAAATCACATATTTACTAATCAGTGGGTTGCGTCTGTATGTCCACACTCAATGACCAACTACACTTTAATTTCACTATAACTAAGTACTCCAAAGTGGTGGTATATCCAATAAATGATTCAAATCATTTTGATTTGTTCAGTTTAGCAAAACCATTTTTTGTTAACCTTTAAGTTCTATTCAATATTTGATTTTAATGCTTGTATTTCTATTTTTCTAGGGTTGTTTAGAACAGATGATAAAACTTACAGGTTGGTCTTCAGCTAGTATATTATATTTTGGGGATCATGTCTATGCTGATCTTGCAGTAAGATTTGTTGAATTTAATCAAATTTGTATCCAGAATAATATTGTAATTCTATTTATTTATATATTAATTGTGATAAAATGACCAAATTATTATTGTATACATTAGACTAAACAATTATAGGCTCATTAATTAATCAATCACTTTTATATCATAATAAATTTTAACATGACCTGATTTCACAACACACAATACGGTCGGATGTTTTTAAATTATCTTAAATTTTGATAGAACATTGAGAAGCGGAATTGCTGTGAAAAGTGTGATTTATTTGTACTACACATTTTGAACAACCTGGTCACATATATACACTTGCCAAGGCATTTTATACACAAATTAATAAGGGTCAATTAAATAAGAGTTCAAATAAACAAAATAATTATTATAAGGTTTTAGAGATTATTGAGTTTTTACTGAGATCAATAGCTGATCAGTGTTATACCACCCTTTAAAACCTAGAAATACTGAACAGCCGTTTCGTCCTAGTATGGAACTGCACTGCAGTGTACACCCACGATTCCGCATGCGGTGGGACTCGAACCCAAGACCTCCGATCTGGCGCGAACACCTGACCTCTAGACCACTGAGCCGGCATCCAGAGGTGTTAATATCTATCTTCAACTAATCCACGATATTGCGCGATCATCTTCGGTGGATAACTGCCCCATACCCGAAACGTTTGAACACCACTGGTCATGTCTTCTCACTAGAACTCTGAGAATGAACTTTTGAAGCTAGCTACCAGTAAGGATATTATAATTATCAGCATAGAGTTGTGGAGATTGTTAGACCAACAGCTCTATGCTTATACTATCCTATCAAATGATATATTAACTTTTGTATTATGTAAATAATTTGTTTTACGTGATTAACGATTTTTCATACGTCTACTTTAATTAGTGTATGAGTTCCTTCTATTAAAATAAGTTATCCTAATTTTTTATTCGCATATAATAATCAGCATTAACTTAATCGTGTGTATAAGGTAACTTGCGTCATTTTACCAGTTTCAGAATAAACTGTTATCAATTTTTCAATATACATTCTGTTGTAATTGTTATGTATGTATTTTTGTGTGTTTTTATGGACATTTATTTTTCTTGTCAGGTAGGAGACATATATAATGTAGTGAGGAATTATATTTCTCGGTTAAGCCAGCTCATTTATTATTTTTTTTAAATTGTTCGTACACATTTGATGATTGACAAACCAAACATTAAAATTGATATATAACTCATTATTACCATTATTTGGAATATCGTTTAATTAGTGGCTGGTGAATAAATCAATCTGCTTCTTCAGTCTTGTTTTCTACTTTTCGTCAACAAAGTAGTCTTATTCCGTCACAATAAGTAGCAGGCAGAAGTATTTCTCAGTCTTAGTAAACATCCTTATCAATAGCAGAAATCAGTACTTAGCTCAAGTTACACATAATTTTGTCAAATTAATGTGTTTCAAGACATTACAGTTATTATCAAATGTTGCTGAAGATGCCACTTTACTTGTGAACTTCAATAGATTTCTTTCTTTATCTACTTAAATAAATAATTAATTTCTAAAATAATTAATTATTATAAAATTTTCTAAAGTTATTTCTTACAGTAGTTCACAATACTCTCCCATTTACTTGAATGTATGTAGTCTCACAGCTCATCCATCAATGATGAATTAAATTGAACATATAAATAAAAACCTTTTTTTCAAAAATGTATAATCCTTCATAATTATTATTACCTTTAGCAGTGTAATGTTCACTTTTTATAGCCTTCAGTATGATACTGTATTCAGTGCTTTTATTTATTCATTGTATCATTTTACTTATAATAGCTCATCAACCCTATGGGTTTGAATTTTCACTGTGGTACTACAGAAGCTAATAAATGGATTGTAAGGGATATAGATCAGGCTTGTGTTAACTCTGAATGACGTCAGTTTTGACATATTTGTCAGATTTTCTTATTCGTATGCCCCAGCAAGTTATCTATTCCATAAAATTTATCTGCCATGAAAATACGCGTATAGTATACGTTGAATTGATGACTGATAACAAGTAGTTTTTGAAGTTACTAGTCAATGTAGAAGTTAAAAATCCTTTTCCGATCCATCGCGAAGAATCGTGTTCACATTGCTCTACTAAAGAGAGTCAAATCAGATAATTTTTAGACGGAAACTAGAATTGGTCAGGTTTATTGTTGCGCGAAAAAAGATTTTATTTGGTCTTCAATGTTGAGTGGATAATTGCGTCATATATCACATTGGATTTACCAGTTAACGTGTGTGTATGATCTATGAACAATAGAGTAGTCTAACTATACAATTAAGAGTGATGAAATATATGTGGCGGAATGGATGAAAACTTACAGTTTCAAACTCAAATAAATTCAGCGTATTTACAACCATTATCCTCCATCGACGAAGTATATAACTGGAACAGAATATAGGGTTGACCTAAAACAGTTTTCAATCCTTAAATAAAACTTGCCAAGAAGTTTTTCTTCAGTTTATAGAAGTTCTACTCATTAGAAAATTCATTCCTCTTTTATGTTTTTAAACAGCAATTTGTACTCTCTTCGAACTTCCCGTGATTATCTTTAACCATTGTTTAATGCCAAGTCTGGCACCAATATTTGATATTTCTATTTCTTATTTTTATACTATCTCTTGTGATCGTTTATATTTTTACCGATCACTATTAATTGATTTGACCTTTCTTTATATTTATGTAAATTCCCTTGAAAAGTAAGTTCATAATCCTAATTTATCCGTAATGCCTCGCTGAAGTACATCACATTTTCTTAAGATCAACTTTGTCTTCTCATTATGCTACATTTTTTCTATGGAAGTTTAGTCTAAATAAACTTTTCGGTCACATAGTTTTCAATTATGGATCATTATCCAACTTCCGCTTCATATCAAACGAAGTTATACAATAAACAGTGTTGTTCATGTTTGCGTTTGTAGTCTTTATTTTCAATCAACCTTTACTAACTTTAATCATAGAACGAATAATTCATTGGTAAATATGAAGTAAAATTTTCTTTCCTGACACACAACCAATGTATTACTATATAGAAGCATGCTGGAAATTAAATCAATTTTGTTTTTATTTTTATTAGGATGTAGCCAGTACATATGGTTGGATGACTGGAGCTGTTATACCGGAACTTGAAAGTGAACTTATTGCTGCGAATAATCATGATTTCAAAATTAATTTAAAACGTTTAAGAATGCTAGAAAGATTAATTCAGGAAAACCAAGTAAATTTGATTTGAATAGTCCTATTAACTTAATTTTGTTAACAATTATGAATCTCATCAAAGCCTCATTTTTTTTAAAAAAGCTCTAGTTTTTATTTATAGCATTTAATTTTATAAAGGTTAAACTTTTTTTAACTTCGAATTTACTCGTTTGATGAACATATAAACAATATGAAAGTGTACGATGTTACCTATCAACTTACTAAAAAAGAAGTATTGTATAACTTGGTTGTTATTATTTATTAAGGAACATGAATCAAATTGTTTTGGCTTTGAGCACTTGGTGGGTAATTACTGATTTTATGACTTATAAACTAATAAGCTGAGAATGCTAAATACTTTTTAAAATAGATAATTTGAATTGACGTTAATTAACACTTGAACTTCAAAGAAATGCTTGACTATATATACTGCTATGTCTAATAAGTACACGGACCAAAAAGTTGTCTTACAAAATCCAAGGTATGCCAATCTAATTTACTATAAATACATTTAACCCAACTCCTCTCTCCATAGTAACAATTGCTGCTCCCTGGGATGGTGGTCAGGCTTGTCTAT